TTCCGTGTCCAGGGATCGGGTCGTCGAGTCCCCGCCTTCGACTGCCACCCAATCCTCTCTGCACCGGCCCCTTACTGCTCTTCCTGCAGGTGGTGAGCCCACGGGAAGGCGGTCCCACGTCACTCCTTCGGGCTGAGCCCGGCCGGACCCCGTGGGGAGAGGCCCGGCCACCAGGCGCTCGCATACGAGCCCCAACCCCGGGCCTGGCTCCAGGGTGGGGCCCCGGCTGCGCCATACCGGGCGACGTCACGGTCCTTGGATGTTTGTCCATCATAAGGGGATTTTGAACCACTCTTAGTCAGACCCGTCGCCTAGGACCTGTTTGCCTTGGGAGACCCTACCAGGGGCATATAGCCCCAGATAACATAGCTCCTAGGGTCATTCGGGTACTCAAACCCCTCCACCACGTTAAGGTGGCAGTTCAAGGAGGGTGCAATATGCAGTAGCATATTGTCTTCATCAAAATGAAATGTAGGCTGTTTTATTTTAAATTTGACTGCGTTCTTTCATTTCTGAAATTTGAATGTTTACCTCTGTTACCGCTGTTAGAAACGACTGACTGGAAATCAATTTTTATATTGCTATAGTAAGCCTCTAGTCGTGCGTACACCTTGCAGAATGTTAATTATTTTAACAAAGTAAGAGGAATATACAAAATGCATGTTATTTTTATTTAGTACTGCCCTGAATAAGATATTTTACATAAAATATGTTTACATATAGGCTAGTCCACAAGACAAAAAAAATTACCGTCAAAAGTTTACATACCCTGTTACGTGGATGTTTGGATTTTTTGTTGTCATGATGGTTGTTCTTGAGTCCCGTCCTGAGCAGTTAAACTGGCCAATGTTGTTCAGAAAAATCATTCAGGTCCTGCAAATTCTTTAGTTTTCCAGAATTTTTTGCATATTTGAACCCTTTCCAGGAGTGACTATGATTTTGAGATCCATCTTTTTACACTGAGGACAATTGAGGGACTCCAACACACAACTATTAAAAAAGGTTCAAACATTCACTGGTGCTTCAGAAGGAAACACGATGCATTAAGAGACGGGGGGTGAAAACGTTTTAAATTTGAAGATTGAGGGTAAATTGTACTTAATTTGTCTTCCGAGAAACATGTAAGCATCTTCTGTTGCTTCCGAAGGGCAGCACTAAATGAAAAAAATATATATATTTAAACAAAATAAGTAAAAATATGGACATCTTCATCCTGTTCAAAAGTGTTCACCCCCGGCTCTTAATGCATCGTGTTTCCTTTTGGAGCATCACCTACAGCCTACCTTCAACCTTAGTATAGCTTTGGTAGCACATCCTGATATATTGTGGGGTGGGGTTTGCGCTTAACTGGTTTGGAGAAACAATCATTGAAAAAATATTATAAAACGTCAAAAATGTAGTATGCAAAAATAATGAAGCATTGTTTTAGCCAATACATCTTGTATTTATAATTGAAAATTTTTGAGTTTGTATGTTAACCCTATTTATTTTCAATTGATTCATCCATTCACTCTTTAGAATTTTAGTTTGGAGGGCGGAATTCAAGTATTCTAATTAAGGTCTTGATTAAAATACACAGATTAAGAAAACAAATGTTGTTTTGTAATTGGACTTTGGTTCAGGGTTATTATAATTAACTAAAATTAAAACCAATCAAACATTTCTGTTACTTGAAATAAAATAAATGTTAAATAAAATAAAATAAATAAAAAAATATTTTCAACTAGTTGCCAAGGCAACATTTCTCATTTTCATTCAGTTTAACTTGAGGTACTAAAATAATGAAAACTATAAATAAAAGTGAATACAAACACTATAGACCTTTAAAAATACAAATAATTATGACAAAAACGCATTACAAAATGACTAAAATGTAACAATTTTGCTGTGTGATAACTAGCCCCAACCTCCCCTATAATGCCCAATGTTATATATATACACTCACCGGCCACTTTATTAGGTACACCTGTCCAACTGCTCGTTAACACTTAATTTCTAAGCAGCCAATCACATGGCGGCAACTCAGTGCATTTAGGCATGTAGACATGGTCAAGACAATCTCCTGCAGTTCAAACCGAGCATCAGTATGGGGAAGAAAGTTGATTTGAGTGACTTTGAACGTGGCATGATTGTTGGTGCCAGAAGGGCTGGTCTGAGTATTTCAGAAACTGCTAATCTACTGGGATTTTCACGCACAACCATCTCTAGGGTTTACAGAGAATGGTCCGAAAAAGAAAAAACATCCAGTGAGCGGCAGTTCTGTGGGCGGAAATGCCTTGTTGATGCCAGAGGTCAGAGGAGAATGGCCAGACTGGTTCGAGCTGATAGAAGGGCAACAGTGACTGAAATAACCACTCGTTACAACCGAGGTATGCAGCAAAGCATTTGTGAAGCCACAACACGCACAACCTTGAGGCGGATGGGCTACAACAGCAGAAGACTCCACCGGGTACCACTCATCTCCACTACAAATAGGAAAAAGAGGCTACAATTTGCAAGAGCTCACCAAAATTGAACAGTTGAAGACTGGAAAAATGTTGCCTGGTCTGATGAGTCTCGATTTCTGTTGAGACATTCAGATGTTAGAGTCAGAATTTGGCGTAAACAGAATGAGAACATGGAACCATCATGCCTTGTTACCACTGTGCAGGCTGGTGGTGGTGGTGTAATGGTGTGGGGGATGTTTTCCTGGCACACTTTAGGCCCCTTAGTGCCAATTGGGCATCGTTTAAATGCCACGGCCTACCTGAGCATTGTTTCTGACCATGTCCATCCCTTTATGGCCACCATGTACCCATCCTCTGATGGCTACTTCCACCATGTCACAAAGCTCTAATCATTTCAAATTGGTTTCTTGAACATGACAATGAGTTCACTGTACTAAAATGGCCTCCACAGTCACCAGATCTCAACCCAATAGAGCATCTTTGGGATGTGGTGGAACGGGAGATTCGCATCATGGATGTGCAGCCGACAAATCTGCGGCAACTGTGTGATGCCCTCATGTCAATATGGACCAAACTCCCTGAGGAATGCTTCCAGCACCTTGTTGAATCTATGCCACGAAGAATCGAGGCAGTTCTGAAGGCAAAAGGGGGTCCAACCCGTTACTAGCATGGGGTACCTAATAAAGTGGCCGGTGAGTGTACACTCACCTAAAGGATTATTAGGAGCACCATACTAATACTGTGTTTGACCCCCTTTCGCCTTCAGAACTGCCTTAATTCTACATGGCATTGATTCAACAAGGTGCTGAAAGCATTCTTTAGAAATGTTGGCCCACATTGATAGGATAGCATCTTGCAGTTGATGGGATGCACATCCAGGGCACGAAGCTCCCGCTCCACCACATCCCAAAGATGCTCTATTGGGTTGAGATCTGGTGACTGTGGGGGCCATTTTAGTACAGTGAACTCATTGCCATGTTCAAGAAACCAATTTGAAATGATTCGAGCTTTGTGACATGGTGCATTATCCTGCTGGAAGTAGCCATCAGAGGATGGGTACATGGTGGCCATAAAGGGATGGACATGGTCAGAAACAATGCTCAGGTAGGCCGTGGCATTTAAACGATGCCCAATTGGCACTAAGGGGCCTAAAGTGTGCCAAGAAAACATCCCCCACACCATTACTACACCACCACCACCAGCCTGCACAATGGTAACAAGGCATGATGGATCCATGTTCTCATTCTGTTTACGCCTAATTCTGACTCTACCATCTGAATGTCTCAACAGAAATCGAGACTCATCAGACAAGGCAACATTTTTCCAGTCTTCAACTGTCCAATTTTGGTGAGCTCTTGCAAATTGTAGCCTATTTTTCCTATTTGTAGTGGAGATGAGTGGTACCCGGTGGGGTCTTCTGCTGTTGTAGCCCATCCGCCTCAAGGTTATGCGTGTTGTGGCTTCACAAATGCTTTGCTGCATACCTCGGTTGTAACGAGTGGTTATTTCAGTCAAAGTTGCTCCTCTATCAGCTTGAATCAGTCGGCCCATTCTCCTCTGACCTCTAGCATCAACAAGGCATTTTCGCCCACAGGACTGCCTCATACTGGATGTTTTTCCCTTTTCACACCATTCTTTGTAAAGCCTAGAAATGGTTGTGTGTGAAAATCCCAGTAACTGAGCAGATTGTGAAATACTCAGACCGGCCCATCTGGCACCAACAACCATGCCACGCTCAAAATTGCTTAAATCACCTTTCTTTCCCATTCTGACATTCAGTTTGGAGTTCAGGAGATTGTCTTGACCAGGACCACACCCCTAAATGCATTGAAGCAATTGCCATGTGATTGGTTGTTTAGATAATTGCATTAATGAGAAATTGAACAGGTGTTCCTAATAATCCTTTAGGTGAGTGTATACTGTATATAGTATATATTGAGAACTTTGTAAATTATAAAAGTTCAGTTTTTATAATAAATTTACATTATACTAGTATCTGTGGGACATCCTATTGTTTTTCATCTTTGAGAATTTCTGAATAGATGTAAGATGTTGAACAGGTTATTCTGGTGAGTTCAGTCTTAGCATTTAATGAATAAAAGTTGTATTTTGGTTCAAACAACATCTACCCAAATGAGGATGCCCAAATCTGCCATTCAGCAGAATTGGTTGCATGCACTGATCCAAACAAAGCCCACTTCCTTAAATCAGACTTATTTGAGATTTCCTAAATTAAATAGAGGCCCTTAAATGTGATGTATTTGACCATTGTCATTCAAATGAGCACCCCACCATGTTTCACTGCTGCATAAGACTTTCGTGCACTGATGGTTGCAGAAAGGCAAGCAACACAGCAACACATTAGACTGAAGCAATCAAACCCCAAGTTAACCGATAACTTCCTGTATTTGTAAGAGGAAGACAACATCAGACCCTCTGAATCACTCGCAGAGCGAGACCTTGCTCTTGCATGGTAATGTCAGTAGTCCTTTTGTGTGCATCAGTGCCGCCCCTCCCCCTCTCAATCTCCCACCCAGACCCACACAGTACAATGTGTGCTCTTTGTAGGCAAGCCTGTAACTGGACGCCAGGTGGTCTGTGATTGGCTGAGTCGAGGCCCTCTCTCCCCCGTCTTCTTTTTCTGGTGCATATGCATGAGATAGCAGGCTGGTGTGTGCCTGTGCAGCTGCTTGTTCTAGACAGGAAAAGAGAGGGAGAGAAACAGGAGCGAGACATTGGGGAAGGTTAGAGGAAGAGGAATAGAGAAAGGAAATCGGGTGAGGAGACGGAGGGCGACTGTGATTGGGGGGGTTGTGGTAGCCATGTCTATTTTCTGTTTGTCTGGCTGGCTATGAGATCAGGCAGCCATGGCCATGTCACTGAGCGCCGACGATGAGGATTACGACTCGGACACAGCCGAACAGGTCAGCACACTCTCTCTCTTTCTCCACATACACACAAACAATTAGCTGCCTTCTCAGGTTCCCTTCCTTGTAGCACCATGCCCACATTTTAAACAAGGCATGTTTTTTCTCCACCTCCTGCTTTCTTCGCCTTCCTTGCCATCTTTCTTCTCTCTCTCTGAAACAGTTAGTAATAGGACATTGTAGGACTGTGGACTACTAAACGTGTAGTAATAACACTGGAGAGGTTTCCATGCGACAGGAAAGAAAACACATACAATAGAGAAGAGTGGTATCACCACTGAGCCTCTGTCTTATTGTTTGTCTCCATTGAGCTTCAGCTTTCAGTTTTGATTGGTTTGACACATGCATGCTTCCTTCAGAAAGACTTGCTTTAAGGAAAAAAGCATGTTCCTTTTACTTTTTCTTTGTGTTGTTTGGATGTGGTTTTTACTTGTTTGTCTCATTTGTTTGGTTGGGAGAACTGAAATGTTGTAGATGGTAGACTTTGTGGGTTGTGATGTACTCTGACTTTCACACATGTGCAGGGTTTTTAGGGAGTGAAACCTGTATTGAAGGAAGACTAAAGTTCCTCTAAGCAGCAGCATGACTGGACATGTGTTGCCCTTAAGTTCCCTTCCCATGATGCATTGCTGCTTAAATTGTTTTCTAGGAAATGGAACATCATGCTTGGTTTGTTGTTTTTAAGTGCAGACAAAATCTAGACTAGGACACAGATTTTCTTTTGCACCCATTTGAAAGGTTAAAAAATAATTAGGTACAGGTGAACACAACATGCGTTTGATTTGTGCAACAGTTATATATATATATATATATATATATATATTTTTATATATATATATATATATATATATATATATATATATTAGTCATAATCAGTATAGATAAGTCATATAGAACACAGACATATATAAACATATATTTTGGTAGCATGCACATATATTGATATCACTGAACCAAGTAGGCCACGTGTGCTCACTAACAATGTGTGCATTTCAAATAACTTAATCCCTGTTGTGATGTATAACTGGGTCTTGAATCTTTAAAACAGTTTCTTTGGCTGTTGAAGACTGGGGGAGGGGAGGAGCAAAGTGTGTGTTTTTTTTTGGGGGGGGGGGGGGGGGGGGACAATAGAGGGAGGGGGATGCCTGGCTGCTCTTGGGCCCCCTGTCTGGGTTCATCTTGGGTAGTCTATAAGTCAAATGATACATTTGCTAAGACTCTTTTTGGTTTAAAGGTGTGGTCATATTAGTTAATTTTTTTTTTATTGGGGGTTAATTTCACGGACGAAAAACGGTCTATTTGTGAAGTGGTTGTGAATGTACTACAGTACAGTGCGTTTCACTCAGAAGTCGCTTTCAAACCTAGCAACTTTCTGTCGGTCAACATAGTGAATCCTAGCATGGGAAAACCCAGACAACTTCCGGCAAATTTAGATTTGCTCTGAAAGTTAGTCTGGCAAAGAGCTCATTCAAGCCCATTTCCAATCCGTCGAAATCGAGGCACCAATCAGAAACGTTGGGGCGGGCTTTACACGATGAGGACAGCGCTGGGATTTTGAAGCAGATTTTGTAGCCTACATTATAAAGATGGATGCCGCCGTCGAACGTCACTCGTTCGAATCAGCTATCGCGTCTGTTTTAAGCGATTTGAACGTTTCCTTTTTGTTAAAAACCGAGCAAAGAACAACACTCGGGGAGATGTTTCTCCACCGCTCTGCATACGTCATCTCCTTCATCGCTCTGATTGGGTTTAGGTCTATCCGCGACGTTCGTTGGTGATGCCCCTCTGGAAATGATTTGTCTATGACGCTTTGCCAGACCATAACTCAGTTACAACTGAGAATGGTCTGGTTTTAACCAGGCTAAGTGAATCCACCTGACCAATTCGAACCCATTGCGAAATCTGCATAGGGAAATCTTTCGGCTTCATATGAAATTTTTGATAAAAAATGGATTGAAATTACTGAATTTCTTAGAAAATTGGCTAAACACCGGTAAATGTGACTGCACCTTAAAGCTTTAATAGATTAGACTGATTTACACAAATTGCACAGTGCTTTGATCTTCAAATATTTGTTTCTTCCACAGAGCACCTCAACAAAGTTTAACATGTTTTCATTGACTTGGTCATCACTATTGTGCAGAGGCGGTAGTTTTCACTCTTCTGCAAGATCACTGGTTGCAATGAGGCCTTATGACTCATTGGGTCCTTTGACTTGTGTCATGGCATGGGCATTATAAAGTGCCAAGAATTAGACATAATAAACTCTCACCCATGCCTAATAACATATTCACGCACACTGTAATTATGCTTCCATTGGTGTGTACATGGGATGATGTGTGGTTGATCTCATCTACAACATGAATGAGTGTTTTAGGTGAATAGCGTGTTTGTTTGTGATGCATTCAAGTCATATTGTGTGACCAAACTTCATTTCCCATAATTTTTTGTGGCAGCACATATATTAAATAAAATCACTTGAATGGACATCACAGAGTAGGCCTAATTATTATTTCCAAACTCATAAATGGGATCTTCCCACGAGGGCTTGAATGCCACCGCAACAGATGATGCATGTGGATTTTCCAAAATGGAGAATAATTATGGGTGGACTTAGTTTGGAAAAAACATGTCTAGGTGAATTGCATGCTGACAGGAATGAATAGCCTTGAGGAGGAAACATGATGTCCTTAGGTGTAGACCATTGTGACGGAATGATTCCTTCAAGACCCAATCGCAGATCATAGATTGGAGACTATTGATTGGTGGAATATTACAACTAGCCTTGAGAAGACAGTAAAAGGAATGAGGCTCCTCAAAAAGTACAGTCTGTGCTATTTGTTTATTCATGTATTTTGCTGGACTCAGAGGTATCTATGTAGATAGACCTAAAGTTCACATCCATTGATGTTGCAACATATAATGGAAGAGTAACTGGAGAACATCTGAATGAGCTGGTGTCTAATCTAGGATCAGCTTCATCAGTCTAAACAGTCATTTGTTTGAGGTAGAGATTACGTCTTAGATCCTCATACATGTGTATCCATTGGACAGCTGATGAATACTGGCTGCAATAGAGCAGTCTTTTTGAAATGACTATCTTTCATATTGGGTTCCACACTCGGACAGCAGGAATAGAGGTCACAGCTGTGATGTATCACTCCAAAGCACAAAAACACTGTTGTACTCTAATAGTAAGCATTCTTATAGTCTGCAGTCTGTCCCGCTCTGCAGTTCCCTGAATCTGTTGGGATGAAACATAGTGCCAGGCAATGGTTGTGTTCTAGTTGTTTTGGTGTGAATGAAATGGTGTCGTATGGAAAAAAACTGGGTTTTGCAAGGGCAGGAATACCTCTACGGCAGTATTTGCTTTCAATGTCTAAAACACGCCATTAAGATGAATATAGCACCATTGATCTTGACTGTATTTCAGTTTTACAGTTCTTCTATTTAGTACCTCAGAGGAAATATCTCAGAGGAAATATCTCAGATGAAATGCAACTGGAAACGAAATCATAAAAAAAGGGGCGTTAAACCCAATCGTCAACCAGTTCCCCCTTCTGAGCCAATTAAATGTTGAATAGAAGTATTCCTTCACTCCACCAGTCAGCAAGAACTGCTGTGTTGCCATGGTTACATTGCAGAAGGACAGACTTCCAGTACTGCACTGCAGTTTTGTGCTTGTGTTGTAATGTATTTATTATCTGAGCTGAGGAGGCAAGACAATGACACTGTGTAATGGAGAAAGCTGATATTAGGATTATTTTAGAGAGGATGATGATGATGCTAATATCAGACATAGTAATGTTAAGCAAGCTCGACGTAAATGCAAGCTTGACGTAATAAAGAACAAATTGTTCTCACACATATGCATCTGTAACACCTGGTACCAGTGAAAATCCCTTTTCTCCTTTAAAAAAACACTACAGGAACCCTTTGCTAAATCTGTAATTGGATCGTTAGTCACTTTGGATAAAAGCATCTACTAAATGTAATGTAAATTAAGATTAAATCACATTACTATGCGACACATAATTTACTCACCTAAGAAAATGTAAATGTCGACCTAATGCTAGTTTTCAGTATATTATATGCTATATATGTTATACAGAGGGGGCTATCTGGAAACACATTTTTATCTTGATTTGGCGTTGTTGGCAATTTCATATATAGAAGTAGTAGTGATTGCACCATGGCTCAGTGAGTCAGAGATTAATATACAGTAATGCTAGACCAGAGTCCTGAACTTCACTTTCTGTATTTGCAACTAGGTAGTATTTTAAATATTATTACGGGTCCAAAGTACTATTGCACACGATCTCCTCTGTAACCAGAACAAATTAGCTGGAATCCACCATTTCTGCTGCTTATTACTACATTAGAGAGCAATCACAGTGATCCAAATAGCAGAGCAGCATAATTACGTTTTTAAATGGGTTATATTTCAATAGCTGAGCTGCATATGCAATTCAACAGAGATGCACAGTCGAGTAAGAAGTGATGATAAACAATAACTTTCAGATGTTGTAAATCTCAAGGGTGGAAGAATAAAGGATATGAACATAGATTATTTTGATTTGAACCATATATCGCATAGTGGAGTAGATTCATACAGGGATGGTGGGTGGGTAAACAAGAGGGACTGGAAAGAGCTTTGAAACAACGGAGAGCTGTATAATGTGCAGAATGAAGTCATTACAGAAGAGCACCTGTGATACTCAACACGTATTTCTACCAGTGAGCTAATCACATTTGAACCAGGTGCCTGTGCCATTTTTTATATATTTTTTGCCAAGCAAATGGTATAAAGGAGACCATGTGGGCTGCAGCTATGCATTTTTCTCGCTAGTTTAGCAACATTAAACCAACAGCCAACTTAGCCTATTACCATCCAACGATACACCAAAATTAGGTGTTTACTATCAAACCTCATATAGAACCAGCTCATAACAAAATTCTGAACCAATTTCACCCCTGTTCCCAGGTGTCTAGTACACTTAAAATGGCAAGTTTGAAATGCAAATGTAAAACAATACACTAAATAAAAGAACCATCAAAATTGTCAGATTGTGCTTTTAAAAGCATGTAGGAGATTCTTCTGTTTTAGGCCTCAAATTAGCCTTTGGACTGGAGCTGGACTCTATTTTAGTGTTCTATGGGAAGCAGTTCTTCTACATGGCTGTCTTCTATTTTAACTTTATAGTTTAATTTTCATTCTTTTTTTCCATTAGCAACGGCTTCCCAACAGACCCAAGCCTAAAATGGCTGCATCAACAGCAACAACTCCGGCAGCAACCACATCTTCATCCACTGCTACAGCGGTCAAGCTGCCATCCAATCGAACCTCCTCTGGAGCTCGCCGCAGGCGCACACGATGCCGGAAGTGCGAGGCATGTGTGCGGACGGAATGTGGAGAGTGTCACTTCTGTAAGGACATGAAGAAGTTTGGAGGACCTGGTCGAATGAAACAGTCTTGCATTATGAGACAATGTATAGCGGTAAGAAACTCAATTCAAACCAACACTGAGATGATTCATGAACCAAATGTAATACATTAAATCACAACCCCATTTCAGAATTTTTTTCCTTGAGAGACACCCATTTTTAGACTCAATATGATTTAGGAACAGTCTTTGTGAGGAATCTACTTTAGCCAGACCCTTCAATTTCATTGAAATTAAGGAATAAGTATTGGAATTACTTCATAGAGCAAATGAATGAGGAACTGGCAGATGTAGAGGTAGTTAAAGGAGATGCATCAATACAGAGGTTTAGTCATTCATCAAACTGAGATCCAGAAGATATGCCTGAACTTTACAACCAAATTAAGTTAACTGTAATTCAGTTGAATAGTCAGTTTAATTTTATTAACCATCACCTTAAAATGTGTTTACCCAAATAGGCATGTGTTATTTTATTAAATTCATGTTTTTTTTAAGCACAATTTTTCTAAATGTTGATATTCTGGATGTTAATGTGTTGGCATGTGGTTCCACAGCCTGTGTTGCCGCACACAGCAGTGTGTGTGGTATGTGGTGAAGCTGGTAAAGAAGACACACTTGATGATGAAGATGAAAAATTTAACGCCATGCTCATGGAGTGCTCTATCTGCAACGAGATTGTCCACCCAAACTGCCTCAAGGTCAGACCGCACCCTAACCTAACCATTGACTTAAGAACTGTTCTAAAGTAAATGGATTGCAGTGTATACTGTGCTCTTTTGTTTTGCGTGGGCACAAAAGGAAGGAAGAGATTAGACTGAAGTGCATGTTAGTGGGTGGCTCTGTTTTTAACACTCTTTAGTTCCCCTTTAGTGTGTGGGGGTGTAATGTATTCACATTACTTGGCTAAAGTGTGTCTTCATAAACGTTCTTAGACATCTCTTCTGCTCTAAGTTCGGTCTCTTGCCTATACAGGTAAAGGATGCAGCCGGGGTAGTAAATGATGAGCTTCCTAACTGCTGGGAATGTCCAAAATGCAATTATGCTGGAAAAACTGGAAAAGTGAGTATTTGGGGAACAGCAGTACAGTGGTTTGGTAGTATTGAGATACAAAGATTTAAAAAAATATATATATTGTAGTGTTTATTAAAGTCCTTTGTTATGAGTTGTGGTATGCATTGATATGTTTTTGTAACTTTGTTTCATTAATTTCATACTTTTGAAGTTGTTGCCTCACATATTTAGTTCCTGTTTTAGTTTCTTACAAAAAGCATTAAGCATCACTCAGAATGACAAGGCCGTAAGCAAACTGTCAAACCAGATCTAGATGCAAATAAAATGCAAATAGTTGTGTTGTGATCATTTTAATTCCGTTAAGTAACTGACAGGTTGTCGAGCTCTTTCCCTTAATATAAACTCTAAAAATGTTTTAGCAATTAAATAGGAAATGTCATGTATCATACCAATTCATGCTTGTTGAACAGTTTATAATAATCATAAGGTATAAAGTTGTCTTTTGTATTTTCTTGCCACTCTTTGGCCTGCAAGCAAAAACGGGGCCCAGGCTTTAAGTACGCATCCAACCTGCCAGGGTCCCTTCTGAGGGAGCAAAAAGCAGGTCGTGACGGTAGAGAGGAAGGGGACCAGACATTGACAGGTGCAGCATCCATCAAAAGGAAGAGTGAGAGGGAGGAAACTCCCAGGCTGAAGACTGAGGATCTTCCCTCACGTCTACCCCCACTCTTGACCCCCAGTGGCCTGCCAAGACCACGATCCGAAGTTCCCAACTTCTTAAGGAAGAAGAGGAAGTTATTTGATGACGATGAAGAGGAAGAGGAGGCTAGTGCTAAAAAGAAGGTAACATTTACACAGACAAGCATTATTTGCATAAACAAATCTGCTGTAGTTTTTCATTTAGTAACTTTGTTGACACATTTTTAGCCGAAGAAACCCTGGAGGTCTGAAGAGCCTTTGATTCCCAAACTCTCTCACATGAGAACAGAAGAGGAGGAAGACAACTCTGATGAGGAGGAAGAGAGGCAGGAGAAGCGAGAACCGCCTCGTCGTTCATTTAAGAAAGACTACAGCACAGTGAGAAAAGAGGAAGTGCATGAAGAAGAGAGACGGGAGGAGAGAGATTCACCTTTCAGATCCCTAAAGGAGTTTAACACCCTAAAGAAAGAAGAAGACCAAGAAGAAGACAAAGACGAAGATGATGAGGAAGAGGAGGATGAGAGTAATGGCAAACGAGGCAGGGACAGCAGCCCTGCACTGAAGAACCATTCTTTATCGCTTGAGAGTGACGCATCGCGGTGCAGCTCCCCAAGGGCAGGGCCGAGCAGTGAAGGCAGTGAGACGCAAGAAAAGGCACCACGTCCTCGGGCGAGGCGACACCGGCGGAAGCCCCCTAACCGCCAGCTTAGCGCAGAACTCAGCAAGCAGCTTAACATGGAGATCCGTCGCACAGAGCATTCACTGGCCAATGAGAACCAGCAGCCACTCAAGAGTGAACCCGAGGACAGCGAGAACGAGGAACCAAAGAGAGGCTTACGGAACGGGACTTCAGGGAATGTAGGAGGAGGAGGTGGAGGAGTAGAAAGGGGAGCAGGCGGAGAGGGAGGAGGGGAGCGACCACACTTACGAGCAAGGGAGATGAACGGGACGTCTTGGGAGCTGCGGCACTTCTACCCTCCTCAGATCACCCCACTTGGCTTGAACCGCAGTTCACCTACAGTCAGACCACTTCCTGCACGTTCCCCTCCCAAGTGTGTTCAGATGGAGCGGCATGTGATCCGGCCACCTCCAATTTGCCCTCCACCTGATAGGCTACCACTAGCTGATGGGCGTAATCATATTGTGCCCAGAGAAGCGTGGTTGGCTATCTTCAGTCACTTGAGCCATCGTGAACTTTGTGTGTGCATGCGCGTGTGCAGGACATGGAATCGCTGGTAAGAAAAACCTAAAGACTGTTTTATCTTTTCACACTTCAAAATTTAGACTTATTATCTCTGGCCCTGTCCCAAATGTCACCCTCAACTATGCCGGTCCTTCTCAATTAGTTTACACTTTGGTCACATTATGTTGCAAGGACAGTTTGGTTTACAGTGTTTCCCAACTCTACTCCTAGTGGCACACCAACAGAACACATTTTCGAACTCTTCCTATTCAAACATCTGTTTCAACTCATCAGCTCCAAGACTCTAAGACCTGAAATGCATGGATCACATAATGGAGACATCCAAAATATTTACTGTTGTTGTGCCTTTAGGAACAGGGTTGAGAAATACTGGGGTAGTAGACCATTGTAAAATCCCATCTCAACCATGAAATGACAAATAGGACACCCTACAGCAAGGGTGTCCATTCCTTCTTATGGAGGGTCACCTTCCTGCAGAGTTTACCTTCAACCCTCATTAAACACACGTCAACCATCTACTCAAGATCTTCAGGACTTCCAAAAACTTCCAGGCAGCTGTTTTGGAGCAAACTGAAGCTAAACTTTGCAGGAAATTGGCCCTTCAGCAGCAGGATTGTACACCCCTGCCCTGCAATGTCATGGACTTAAGAGACATGTGCAATTGGAAGTTCCATTTTGGGACAGGTCCTATACAATTATTACAATGACATTTTATAGTTGGTCACTTTTAGAGCTGTGGATTTGTGGTTTTAATTAACATCTTTTTATTTATCTTTTTAGGTGTTGTGACAAGAGATTGTGGACTCATATCGATTTGAAGCGCTGTAAGTCCATCACACCACTCATGCTGAGTGGGATAATTCGCAGACAGCCCATCACTTTGGACTTGAGCTGGACCAACATCTCCAAGAAGCAATTAAGCTGGCTTATTAACCGACTACCAGGTCAGTGTTCATGTGAGCAAGTATGTAGATCCACGTCATCCAAATCTGTGCAGCTATTACTAAATGCTTGTGTGTTTGGATACAGGACTGAGGGTGCTCCTCCTATCAGGCTGTTCATGGGTGGCCGTTTCGGCTCTCTGCACATCCAGCTGTCCTCTACTGCGTACTCTAGATCTGCAGTGGGTGGAGGGGCTCAAAGACCCCCAGATGAGGGACCTACTATCCCCTCCGACTGACAACAGACCAGGTATGTTAACTTTCAACACTTCAGATCGATATGCGCACATCCAAGACCCAGAATCAAATACATACAATACAGTGACTTAATCAGATGGCATATTCTCTAATTTGGCTTTGTCTAACAGGTCAGATGGACACACGCAGCAAACTACGGAATGTTACTGACCTGCGTCTGGCTGGTTTGGACCTCACGGACTGCTCTCTGCGTCTCATAATTAAAAATATGCCTCTACTCTCCCGTCTGGACTTGAGTTACTGCAACCATATCAATGACCAGTCAGTAAACCTGCTGACTGCTGCAGGGACCACCACGAGAGACTCCCTAACCGATGTCAACCTTTCTGGTAATTGCACTGTTTAAATATTTAGTCACAAATCCAATTGTAATACTATAACAAATGCTGGACCAGTGCCCAATCTTGAACCGTTGTTTCCACCAAAGATAATTTGGCTTCTTATTGTTCCCTTAAGGCTAATTTACACTGCTCCAACACCAAAAGATATGTTCACTGGGTTTGATTGGGTCAGTATGTTACCCCTGTTGGTGTCTGTTGCAGTTGGTCTGCGTATGTTTTCACCAACTGAACATGTTTAATCTGCATTTGTTAGTTGTAGAATGTCTTAGCAGTGATGTAATGGGGCCAGTTGCATTAACTGCTAAGACTAGTCTTAAAAGTTAGTCATCAATTTGTTTCTTTAAGACTGTTCATATCTTTTTCAAATCAGTTACATAAAAATGTAGATTGGTCTAATTTGACCACGAAAAGTAAGCCCCTGGTTGATTGTCGCATTGGTTGAAATCTGGTGTCTGCAGTGTGAACTGGTCTCGAACCAAAAACATTAGCAGCTAGCGGGCAAGAAAATGCAGCCATCACTTAAAGTTTCCAAAACAACAACTCAGTCTGGCTACACTGACACAAAAAATTCTCTCATTTTAATCAGTGAAGCTGTCAACTCAGGAAGCATCCAATGTGTGCAGGTTGCGACATTTGGCTCCTAAGATTTGTGGGCCTGTTCAGAGTGAGATCCCCAGGCACCGGCACTATTTCAGTGAAAAATCCATAAGTTATTCTGTGGGGACCTATGAAAAAGAATTACTTCAATGCAACTCCTGTGGTACACAGGTTTAACATTTGTTTACTTAGGACCTTAGGAGTCTAATGCTGTAAAACTCTTAATTCCCCCTCACTGATTACTGATCTCTTCTTTCTGAATTCTCTCTTTAGTGTGCAACAGGGTCACTGATCAGTCACTGAGTTACTTCAAACGCTGCGGAAGCATCTGCCGCATTGACCTGCGATTTTCCAAGCAGGTGAGCAGACAGGCATGTGAGCGCTTCATTGCTGAGATGTCGGTCATTGTTCCCTTCAAACTGCAAGAGGATAAACTGCTCCAAAAACTACACAGCACCCCCTAGTGTCTGGGAGGAATTGAACACCAGTCTAAAATGATACCATGTATCAGGTGCACTCATGTGTTCGGACTGAAACTGGATTCGCACACTTAAAAAAAAAAAAAAAAGCACTGCAACACGTATGTGGACAAAGCGTTTGGTCATCTTCTTTCAAACTGGAGAGAAGAGCAGACGTATTGTACTTAAAGGCACATAATTCTGCTCCTAGTCTGAATGGTGTATTTTAATGATGATGGACTTTATTCTTCAAATTCTGTTAATCTTTAAGAGGAGATGTATGTGTTATTACCAGGAAATTGTATTTAAATGGTGGTGTAGTAGAAAGCAGAGGAAGTAATGGGTATATATACACACAACATCCACATACTCACTGGATACTACACACACCTCTTAATCAATGGTAAGCATGATTGTACATTATTCAAAATTCAATTTTTTTGTACAAAAGATGTATCAGTTCAGATTTCTGTGCTATATTTGGTTCAGTCCTGGATATATGTATTGTTCTTTATTTTGTTTTTTAATATAATGGAATTTTTAAATATCTCTGTCCATTTTATGTAATCAGCATTGGAATGTTCCAGTCTGATCAGCATTTTTCAGATGTTTTGACTGCTTTGAATTTCAAGTACTTGCTGTTCTTATCTCAAACAGGTATAGAAGTGGAATTTGTTATTATGAGGTCTATTTATAAACCAGTGCCATATTCCATCTGTTGTTTTACAGTTTTAACAGCCAAGCCTTCAGCCATCAGTAGGGCAGGCTATATTTCATAGCTATGCCTGTGTAGAGCACAGCTCTACAAGTGTTAGACCAAACAAATTACTGATTATTTAACCTTGTTAGCAAGTAATTTGTTTTGTTCAACATATCAGGTAGTTCTGCATTTTTCCCCATGAGGTAAAAAAAAGACTTTGCTGAACCTCCATCCAGTATTTGTCTGAGATTCATCATGTGCTTTTTATTCCTTCCACAGTGATTATTATTGTAAAATGGTAACTGTTATGATGACAGATGATTTTAATGGTGTGTATTATTGTGAGTTTTGTCTCAGGATATTTACTGTCAGAAAGAGGGAGTCTGCCATTTGATCTAAGCCACCATACTTGTACCACTATAAATTAAGGCATTTTTCGCCATCTAAAACATTCTAATGTACATCCGGCTATTTATATTTGTATGTAATTAAAAAAAAATGTACCGTGAGACATTTGAAAAGGGAAGTTATTTTTCAACCAAATGTAAATGTGCTTGTATTAGAATAACTTCAAATATGAAATTTAAAATGTTGCTTAAAGCAGGGAACATTTTAAAGCCAATGTGAAGTGCCATTAGCAATCTGTTTTAATCTTAGATATTTCCTAGTGGGAAAAAATTAAGACATTTTCAAATAGTCAATTTTGATTTCATATTGACTTGGCAAATAATGAACCGGAACAACAAATTGACATTTAATAATCACGATGCAGTACAGTCCAGTGAAAATCTTTCTTAGCACTTTTATTTAAGTATCACAACTAAGTTAATTCGTTAGTTAATTCTATATTAAATTAACGGCAACTGACCAAAAGAAAAAGTTATTTTTTGTTAAGAAAAATAAACTTATCTGAATAGGCATTTACACAGGAATTAAAGACATGTCAGACATAACAGGTAAAACAAGGATGTAATGAATCTGAATATACACCTAAATGTTATATGTAATATCCCTTATAATGTAAAATATATCACCACACAAAAAGAGAGGCTGGTATTGCTGTGGTGCAGCTGATGCTTGTCAGCGCTATGTAATGTGCCATGATGCAACTTCTAACCAGGTTTATCATACACATTAATAATGGCTTCAAAATATGGGTAGATTATTTGTTTGGGTTGTGACGACTTTTTTTTAAGGTTTAACGACGTACATTAATTCAAGTACTAACAACAACAACTGTAGTGCATTAGGAGACAGAAATGCACCTTTTTGGCACCCAAATCATCCCTCTTCTTTTACACCGTGCATCATTTTGAAGTTATGGTTGCTTTGCACATACATAAAACGCACATTTTCAAATGCTATCGATTTAAATCAGTAATATTGTACCGGTTTATGGTCCTACTTTCAATTATGACACACATCCCAAACATTTAAGTATTTGGTGCATAAAAACAGTTCCATCCTCTCTTGTTTGTCACCACTTACACTGGAAAAGTCAGTCACATATTCAAGAAACCAGCAAGTGTCCTAAGACTCTGACAAAGAAAAAGTAATTGATTAAAAAAATGTATGGTCATTTATGGTTAAAGTAATATGATTAAATGATTAACAGGACTAATCTGTTGTGGACCATGAAACGTTCATTATGCCACTTATAATTTGTTGAATGGTACCACTGTCAAGTTATCACGAGGTACAATGTTTCTTGTAGGAAAAACTTTTTTCAAAAATCCAAGAGGCTTCACAATACAAACAGGAAACAAAGGCCCATTCACAGATGCTGCAAAACAAAGCAAAAAGGAAATAAAAGAGCAATAGGAACATTCAGATACTTCCATCCTGAGTTATGGTGCATGATGATGAACCCACTTGAGTAATATATTTGTTTCTTTTCTTGAGTTTCTCACAGTGCTTGCATGTGATCTGCGAGCAGAATGTCTTCAAAGCTGTAGGATATCAAGTCAAGGCTGTGAGGTGTTGCAGCTGAACAATTGCATATTATTACAGAGCCTCTTAGAAGAGCTTGTGGAATGTTTTTACTGAAGCATTTATTGACAAAGCCATTGTGGCCCACCATCTGAAGTCTTCCTCAAACGTCGTGAAAAATTAAGCAGAGGACTTTATCTTCCTCCCTAATTCGATGTGAAGACGGGCACTTGCTGGGTGCGTCCTCACCCAATCCTAATGCAGTCTGCAGGTGGAACAGGACGTACTCCCAGAAGTATTAAGACTTGAAAACATGCACAGCCCTGATAACGTATTGTCTGCATATAGGGCATTCATTCATGCGCTTCCCGCATTTAGTGCAGGTGACCATGTGACCGCACTCCAGCAGTACACAGTCAATGACGGCGTCCATGCAGATGCGACACAGGCTGTCGTCATTTGATAACTGGGTCCTGCAACCATCTGCAGTGAGAGAGAGGAAAAAGACATGAGCCATTACATTGTGTGCCAATCCATCTGTAAGAACATGATCTTGAGTTCATCAATGGGTTCATGTCAATTCTAACCCAGACAGCAACATAGTGTCGGCTCAGATCCGGCCCCCATCTGGTATGCGCTAAATCCACATGTACCAGATGTGGCTCGGATTTGGGTCGACACTATGTTACTCTCTGGGGAAGAACCAATCACAACCAGAGATGGCCACAATTCAAGTAAGATACCTCCAACTAGTGACGCACCGGAATCGAATGGAAATAAAAATAGACCGAAACAGATTATTATTATTTTTTAACTGCATTTTTCAGTCTCAGCGGGCCTAAATCATTACCTAAAAACAGTTAACTCTTCTTCAATGACACAGAACAGGTTTTTCAGTGTAAACACTCTCTAAATAGACACTCTCTTATTTGTTGTGCTGCTCACATCTTTTGCAATGTCTCATGCACGACAGTGTTCTGCACGACAAGGAAGAAAGATGCAGATGTTCACAAAGAACGTGTTTTTCCATTCTACTGCGCTACTTTCCCATTGTTTTTCAATGTAAACGCGCTAGAGTAGATGAACGTCTTTAAACGTTGCGCTTATGTCTTTTGCAGCGTCCTGCGCATGGCATGACTGTATAAAAACACTGAAGAAGTTTTAAAATGCGCATCTGTAGACCTTGCGCCTTTGACTCATTCCACTGACCTGCGTCTCACGTTTATAACAGCCAAAAAACATGTTCTGTTTGAACCGGCCCTATGACTGATTTATTTCCTGTGAACTACACCATGAACAGCACACCCAGTTCAATTACAAAATTACCCAAAACCCAATTACCGAAACTTTATTTTCCCTTTCGGTAAAAACATTCATTTCAGTGCATCACTACATCCCAACTCTTGCATTGTGCAGTTTATTTCAATTCTAGCCATACAAAAAAAATAATACTTGATGAAGGGCATGGATGAAATGGGATAATGGGGGTAAACCGTCAAAGGAGAAACATTTTTATGACCCCTAACAAAACAATTATTACTACATTATAAATCATTTATGGCAGTGTAAACAATGGCACTTTACATTTTTCCTTTGAGAATACATGCTATCTGGCAGTGGCCATGCAGGGAGGGGGTTGAAGTGCAATGACATCACAAACTGCAGTGCACTGGTGAGTGTGACCAGGGAGCATTTCCACCAATCACAAGCCTTACCTCCGATTCCACCATTGCAGATTGGAGGGGGATAAGCTACCACTTAAGTGGGAGGAGCAAAGCACAGCTATTAGACTCAGCTAGGAGTTATTATTAGTTAAACAGTCCATTTAATTTACTGTGGAACCTGAGCAGATCATCAATGAAATCAACTGAGACCTTAAAAACTAAAAAAGCATTTGCACTCTTTTAATGAATTTTTTCATTCAAACTGTGAGGTGAAAATTTCTTACCTGCAGTGATGGGGTTGCTCACATTTTCAACTGAAAAAAAAAAGAGCATGCGTTTATAAAAATGAATATACATAGACATATATATACATACAGAGTCTTTTTAAATATTTTTTTATTTTTTTGGCAAACGTTTATTTTTAGACTGTGTGTTGCTTTATTCATGGAGCAGTGTTAGTGCAGAGCAGTGTTAGCACTCACTAGATTTGCGATTGTCCTCATTCTCCCGGTAAAGCCTCCTGACGCGCTCCACCAGCTCCCACTTCTCACAGCAGCCGGAGAAGCTCACAAAGTTCCTCGCAAGGATCTCCTTCAGCTGCCTGACCGTCAACTGCTCCACGTCACCAAGGGAGGACAGATCTGACAGAGAAGCTCTAGCCCGCCGCCGCGTCTGAGGACTAACCTGATGGTAACGGGACATTCTAGTCATGTTATATAATCTCTGCAATTTAACCCTCGTATTGTCCGTTCAGACCCCCATTTGATGTTTCCCTCAAAAGCATTGTTCCCTTCCTCTCACTGGCATGAGATTTTGTGACTTGTTTCATTCTCGATCTATACACAAAAAACTGAAACATTGGAAATGAACAAGAAAGGCGAAAAATTAAGTATTTTTTATCTTTCATTTAAAAAAAAAAAAAAAAAAAAAAAAAAAAATCCAGCATAATTTGAATTTTCACACAGAAATTAAGGCCTGGTGCTAAAGCAAGAATGCAAAGTGGAACAAACATGCTCACAATCTCTCTCTCTCTCCCCAAGTGTGACTGCAACAAACCATATTTGTATAATATTTGGCAAACAAAATCAGCCACAAATGCAGATATGAAGGGGTGAGACCTAACACACGCACAAATACACATGCACGCACACAAACACTTTCGCATGCACACATACACGCATGCGTGCACACACCATTTCATTTCTGCTTATTGCTATTGGTTTTATTTACATATTTTTTTAAATACAATTTCTTATTCCAAAGTTAATGATTATTTACATTTAGTTCATTAAAATAAATAATTTGTGAATAAAATCGGACTTAAGTTTTTTTGTGGCATTTCAGTTATATTTTTACAAACTTGTGTGGAATTATTGCAACATGTTTTCTTCTAACCAGCAGATTGCACCTAGATCTATATCCAGAAACGACTCCTATTTAATTTAGATCATCATTAAAGTATTTTTTTTTTTTTTCAGAAAAAAATAATATTTTATATGCAAGCTAATGGTGTAGAGTAATTTTGTGGTAAGTGGGTGTGGAGATGATATTCTTATTTTGACCAGCCCAAGAAAGTATGTATTACAGTTCATGACAATGTTAGTCATTTCAATTACCAGTAAGAGAATTAACTCACCTCTGGTGTGTGTTCTGCCTGGTCGAGGTTAAGGAGTGAGACTGAAGTGGAGTCCTCAATATCCTATCATCAGCAAGGAATGTTTGCACAGAAAGAAAATAATTAGCCATCCACACTAAGAACAGCTTTACAAAGGATTCACCATTGACTGCCACAAAAAATCAAGTAAGCCAAGTATCTTTCAGTTACAACATCATTCAACCCTCTTGTTAATAGTGGTATAAATGGAATGAAGTACACTTTAATCCAATGGCAAAATTGTGCAAACCAGTTCATTTTTGCACAGCCATTTTGAGCACAGATTTTTGTGCACATCAGTGCATTCTGGGTAGGATTGCATCAGCCATGCATACGTTCTTTGGAACGTAAAGTCCACACTACAGGCATAGTAACTACTAGCTAGTTTGTAACTAACTGCACTTTATTTGGTTGCACCATTTGTTCAAGGTAGCTAGGTAGTCAGTTCTCTAAAGTAATGCTTGTAAAAACTAATATGGCATTTATCCTTTAATGATCCAATAGCAGCCTTCAAATTCATGAGCAGAAGTTGTATTTCTGTTTATTCTTGATTCTAACTTATTTTGGCTCATGTAGCTAATGGTCAGATCAATACAGTTGGCTGCTTTATCTTTCAATCAACACAAGTTTCTCTGCAAATTCAATTATACTGTGCCTTGTTTACAAAACGAAATGCTCTGAACAAACATATAATCCTCCGATGTGATACGGGACATGAAGCGATGCAGTTCTAAAGTCTATACAGAGACGCAAAAACGCGTGAACATGACGAACATTCTTTCACTCTTCCATTTGTCCAGGTGTCGACAGACTCAAGCGCGTGGAGCATGTCAGAAACTGAATGTGCATCTGTATACTGTATCCAATGTAGACAGCGTCAGTGAATATAGTGGGTCCTATTTGCTTTTGACGTGACGCTCACATTCAGGGTAGGCAAATGTCAGCCGATAAATAAATGAACGCCAGTGGGCGTGGCCTATGATGCGATATAACCATTCGTCGATCTCTTGCTCTGGAGGCAGTCATATGCAAAAATGTATTTGCCTGTGTGACATCACAGATCCCGCAATATCAAAACAAACTGTTTTTGGAGCTTGATTAAATAAATGCTTTGTTTATAATGAGGAGGACGTTTTAAGACCATATGTCAAAAGATCATGAGCCCTTTAAACAGTAGTATGCTATAATGGTCACATGATCTCATCATATTGCACATTTAATGGTACCTGGTTATCTTGGGAATCTATTCTTTATCTTGGGTTATCTATTATGTTGCACTTTTAATCCAATTTTTGTAATGTTTTATTATTCAATTATTATTTAAATGAGTCAAGTACATTGTATTGTGGGATACAATATGCAGCACAATGAGCTCAGGATGTTACTGCTCATTTTGGCAAATATATTAGGGTATTTCATGCATACAGAAAATTTGCATACTGGAATGTATGTAATTGAATGGTTAAAAAAAAACTCATAAAACTCACGGTTCGAATCATGTTACGTTTTTTTGAGATACGGATTGGAACATTTTTTTGGATCAGCAAGAGAAAAAAAAAAAAGAGAAAAAGAAAACTTGGCTTTTCATTTATTACTTAAAGCACACTTTAAGTACTCCGATACCACAGCAAAAACTACTTTCCTAACTAATAAAGTTCAAACATTATTAAAGGCAAACAAATACACTAATTACAAGCATAGATAAATACAATATAACAGTTACAAATAAAATAACAGTAGTATTCATTTCATTTACAGAAATTCAGTAATTACATTTAAAATAACACTATAGTGTTCACTGTATAAATTTAATATAGATTATTCTTTGTTAAAACTGTGTTTTTTGTGGTTTGATTAACATTAATGACATGGACAACAGCAGGTATTTATAGGCTGCTGTCACTTTAAGGCCTAATGCACGGATCCATTATAATGATACACATCTGTTTTCTTTCTCAACTGTTTACGTTCACTTAAGACATAACCGTCTGTCTACCTGCCGAGACAGGTATTTTGACCAATTTTGTGTGTATGTGTCCATCCAAGTGCAAGGAGACGTGAAAGAGGAATCAATTCGAAGTTTGCGCGCTATCTGAAACGCACCTCTCTGTGTGTGCGGCTGTGTGCGCAGATAACTGCAAACCTCTCTTTTGCCTCTTCTAGTGCTACAATGGTTTAACATCTACCGAATGTGTAAACTGGCAAGACACATGCTAATTATAAACTTTCAATCTATAAAAGGTTAAACTTGCAATCTATAAAAGTTAAACTTGCAATCAATCCACGAATCCCGAGCCGTGGAGCTTGGCACGGATCAACTACGTTCCGTTTAACCCCTAATGTAAACATGTTATTCCAAACAGCCATGCTCACAGATTAGAATCAGCTGGACACACCTGATTGGACTCGGAGCTGTTGCTCCTACTGATTGGTTCTCCTTGAGCTGGAGAGAGAGCTGAGAGAGGGGAAGTGGGCTCTTCAATTGAAGGGGGTGGGCTATACAGGGGGCGTGACTGCAGAGAAGGCGTGTCTGGATCATCCTCACTTTCGGCACCTTGATGGCAAAGCACCAAGTCCACAAGGTCCTCTTTCTCCCTAAGGATTCAAAGCATTCAAACAACTCAAAAACACTAATGATATGGTCATAATATACCCAATTATTAATAATGCTCACATACTGTTGCCTGTGTGAAAGTACCTGCAGGTATCAGTGTTAATATTGCGTAACGTAAGGTACTGCCGCAAGTCCTTAACACGCAAACGCATGAGCTGTGGACGCTGGAATGAAGTGCCCTTCAGCAGCTGACAAGTTGTGCATCTGCGCTGGTTTTCCTGAAGTACTGAGCACAGCGAACAAAAACTCTTCTTACAGTCACAACAGATGTGCTACGGTGGAGAAAAAGAGGGAATTTGTGCTTAATCAAAAGGACAAAAAGCAAGGCTGTGATAAAATTACAATCTCTCATCTCAAACTAAAGAAAAGACATGCAGATTGTGGATTATTGCCTAACTCTACTATATGTTTTTATCATGTCAGAAGGTACTTACTAGCCTTGTAAAAAAATAAGTGTGCTTAATTGTACTGAATGCGCATTTGTCCTGTACTTCAAATCTTAAAAGTATATAGTTAATAATGTTCAAGAAGTTAAAGTGTAAGATTTGGTAAAGGTAAGGTAAGTGTACACTTTCATGACGGTTTCTTAACACACTTAAGTGCACTTTTAAAATCGTAATAAGTAAAAATGAGAACTTACTTAAAATAGCATTTTAAGCTTTAAAGTACACTTATTTTGATGTTACTTATTTTAAATGCTTGTCAGTACATTCGGCAGTACACTTTATCCATATTTTAAAGACAACAGAATTATGAATTTACGTACAAAGTAGTCCTACTTAATTGCATTTAATATAAAATAAAACAATACATTTTTGTGTCTGAATTACATTATATTCAGTGTCTGAATGTAATGTAATTAAGTGTCTGAAAACATAACATTCAGTTTCCACTTAAGCATGTTCTATTAACGTATATCATTATAAAATAAGTCATCTTTTTAAAAGTATGCTGCTAAACTGTACTTTTTCACAAAGATAAAGGCCCAATGGAATCAAAATGAGAGATTTGTGCATTTTAGTCTATGTATATTCAATTTAAGGTCATCTATATGTCGAAAAAAACCAAGGTGGAGCAGTGCAAGTGATCTATTTTGTAAGTCAAGAGTAAAATATTTTATGGCTTTAATGAGAAAGTTGATGTATAAATGTATTTGTCGGCTGGATGATTAACATAACCTTGAGTCTAGAAAAAGTCGAATTGAATATATGCCACTCTACCTCTAAAATTGACCAAATAAAGTTTAGTCGATTTTAAAATGTACAATCTTTGTCTTCTGGGAAAATAGGAAAAAAAAATATTGATGATGACTCATCTTGCACGCACACGAATATAAAAATTTGTGTCCAATCAAAAGCTACATAGAATCAAAATGTCCACTACCTTAATAGCACCAACCAGCTATATTTGTCCGGCTGTGATTTACTGTAAATTTTGTTTTACATGTACAAGCCGTCAACATGGTCCCAACTTACAGATTCAGAAGGAAATACATCAACATCAAAAAGAAATGTATGTTTCTGCAGCCATTTCATGGGGTCTTTAATCTAATAAATGCTTTTAGATTTAATGTGCGGAACAAATGAGATTGTATGGCAATGGCAGGTGTGCAGGTCTACCTACCCTTCTCCTAAAGACAGAGAAGGCTTGTCTACAGGACTGACACACAAGGCTGGTGTTGGTGGAGTTGGTAGGTGGGTATGTGGAGTATCCTGCAGTGGGAGCAAAACGAAACGGTCCTGCACCTGCCCCGAAACCTGGCTGCTGCCCTCTCACGGCCCCGGTACCCATCACTTCATTCAGCAGACCACAGCATGATGCCCACATGGACGAGGCCCCCGCCTGCACGGAAAACAATCACAAAAGACTTCAAAAACAAATGATGACAAATTATGAGGTTTTCAAACCTTTGAGGTTGTATTAAGACTAGTGCTGTCAATCCAATTTTTTTTTTTTTTTTACACATTTCATGTGTGGCTGTATCTAAATAGGTTCTCTTTTGCGTCATATTATGCTGGAATGGTTTAAAAGCACTTGAATAAATTATCGGCTGATCATAGGATAGGCCAACATGCAGACAGTCCTCAGTCGGTCTCTCTCTCGCTTCGTAGGGCTGGTGAATGAAACCCAGATAGTGTGATCACATACTGCAATGCATGCTGGGTTAATTGCATTATAAAAAAAAATAAAAAAGGGGCAAGGCCTGGTTGAGTTGCAGTAGTAGTGAGTTGAAATTTGCAGTTATGTGCAGTAATTCGCAAGGGGAGTAACAAACATGCTCAAAGCAGTTGACCAATCACAACACATTGGTCCAGCCAGCCAATCAGAGCACATTGTGCTTTCCGACATGGAGGAAGTCATAGAGACCAGAAATAAACATAATGTTACTGAAAAACAGGGAACGGAGGTGCTGCAACAATTTAAATTATGTGAAAACTAATGTGTTTTTGAACATTCAACCATGAATCTAGCACACCCCTTTTACAAAATCAAGATTTTGTAAAAGTGCATAATAGGTCCCCTTTAAACAGAAAATATTAATCATCGAAATTAACACGTTATTTTTAACAGCCCTAATTAAGACACATCTAACATGTAGAAAATTGCCATTGTGAGAGTGATACTACCTTGTGCATGATAACAATAGTAAGTCTGAGCTGCTGTGCTTTATTTCCCCATTCAGAATGTCCTGCCCAGAAATAGTTCCCATTGACTGGGATCAATCTCATTACAGATGGATGGGAATAGGGCTAAGCTATAACAAGGGATTAGTGTGCTTTAAAGGACTTCTGACTGCAGCTAGTGCTCTTAGTCACACTCAACAGAGAGTAACCATGGTGTTTTTATTTTCATGGGGAGCCAACAGGATAATCAACTCCCAATTGTCATTGTGTGACACAGTGAAGGATCGGTCCTGTTGCTGGGTCTCGCCTCCCAACAAATGAAAACATGAGAACAGAATAGTTTAAAAAAACATTACTGATCATTGCATCTAACAACTGAATACTGAAATACACTACACAAATTATATAATTTGACTGAGAATATATATATATATATTAGGCATGAAAGATGTCATCAATGCACAAAACCACACAATACAAATAATGCATGAAAAGCTAAACTGGAAATCAGCTGTTACTTATCAAGCTGATAGCAAATGTAGCAGATTATTAATGCTAGCCTGATGCACAGGCAGCACAGCCAACATAGAAACAAGTTCAAAAACTATACAAGCATTATGAGAAATTACTGTACCTTCATAGCAGCTCAAAGACACCACGGGAAGTCACCCAGCTGCATGCAAAGGAAGCCAAAACATTGCTCACAAACGGCTAACTCTTCATTTCACAGTCGCTGTCTACAGCTGCCGCACCAAGAGGATCGCTATGACTGTGATTAAGTGTTTTCAGCCAATCACAGTGGTGGATATCCTGTGACGCAATACCAGCCAGCCAATCATCTCGTATCCCCAGTAGTGCAGCGGAAGTTTGTGCATTTCTATTAGAGTTTCTCATTTGCTGTTTAGTTTATTACACTTATGTAATGGAAGTATTTGTTTAAATTACTTTTGTAATTTTAGCTTGATAGCTTAACCCCAGTCTAACGAGTTCGCATCCTAGATCCTTATTATTTGTCGGACAGAATTATTATATGAGCGGAAAGTTAGCGTTTTCAAACAGAGTGATATTACACCATAAATAGTGGTTTAAGTATTTCTTGTGGTTTATCACTTATTAACACTTATTTTAAGGAATGTTTATTAGCAGATTAATTGACTCAGATACTGAATAATTCATGAGTGTCACCTGAGTCACAGGTCACTGTTGCTGTTCCAACAGATGACAATCCATTATTGATCAGTAGTTTTAAGCTTTATGTTTAAAGCTTAGCTGTATAATCGGATTCAGAATTGTTGTTTAGTGGCGTTATGTGTTGTCAAACTGTAAACTAGATATTGGTGAACACCTCTTAAATCTTTGTGGATAGTTTAAAAAAAATCCCCAGACGATCATGTCCCCTTAAGTACAAATGTGAAGGGTAAATGTATTTTGAACAATGTAGGCATAGTCATCACTTGATAAAAATCCACTGACATCATTAAAAAATATTATTTGAAATAAAAAGATGTGAAAAAGCAGTACAATTGGAAACAATATCACAATATCCTATAAACTATTTATTCTTAGATTTTGTTCATGTATATTAATAATTGACATATAGTTAGTAGGATTTCTTTCAAATGTAAAATACCATGTCATTTAAATATTCAATATTTGCGACCTCTACCGTATGCAGATATAAAAATAATAATATTTGCGGACATCTTTAACGATTAAACGATTAACGATTCCTGATTTGTCTCAGGAATATTGAAAATTAGCTGAAACCCCTTGAAATTATCATTAACTCTGTGTTGGAATATATACAGTTGTTGTTAAGGAATCGGAATCGATTTATCAGCACTGCAGCCCGTACTAAAACGGGTTTTCACTAAATCTATTGAACCGTTTTGCAAAGCTGATTTTAACGATTTATCATCATCGGGTTAAATGTCTCGAGTGTCACTGAACCGAAAACCGTCTTTTTCAAAGACACCCGACTCGTAACGGACTCATTGAAACGAATTGTTCACAAGAACCGATACAAGAACTGATCTTTAAAACATAATCGATTCGTCTGTGCTCTACATTCCGTCCTGGAACGTAAACGGAACTGGAGGGTATTTTGATGAAAAGTCTCCGGCTGTTTGTCAGCAAATGATCCATGTGAATATATTCGAATATGTCCATGTTTGATTAATAACCTAACGCATCAAACAAAGTGGTTATGATTATAGATTTTCACGTTGAAGAAAGGCTTCAAATCGCTATGACTGCATTTGAAACACTGTTGATATTTTACCGTATTAGCACACATAATGTAAGCTAGCTTACCACATAGCATAGTTGTTTTTTTCTTCTATTAAACTAGAGTATTTACTGCACCGATATACTTCATTTTATTGATATTTGAGGAATATAAGTCCCGAGAGGCAATGGCCAGTGTGCATGAAAGTCTGTATTTCAACCCCATGATGACAAATGGGGTTGTTCATGCCAATATCTTCGGCATAAAGGATTGGGTCACTCCATACAAGATCGCAGTGTTAGTTTTACTGTATGAGATGTCCACAACCAAACCAATGGCACTTCTAGACAGAAGACGCCTGAACAAACTCATCCTGCCTTTACAACAGGTATGTAGCTTGTTTTCTTGTAGGGCTGTTTATGCCTACCCTGTGTGCCCCTTTTTAAAAAAAATAATGTAATGTTTTCAGACACTTAATTTTCTAGATTAAACCATACTGCACATGTTTGATTTGTGTTTGTGATGACCAGGGTGCAGATTTGACCCTGAAGCAGTTTGTGAAGATAGTAGAGGAATGCTGTCCTCGCATGGTCAATGCTGTTAAAGTCAGGTACAGTAGGCATCTTATCTTTATAAAGAACTTTTCTACCTGGGTTGGTTTTTATATATTAGTCGTACATATAATTATAACCTTCTTCTTTTTCAGGTTGATTTTAATGGCTGGTGGAGAGTTGCAGGACATGGAGCACTTTTTTACTATCCTGCCAAATGCATTCAGTGACTCGGAGGCATTCAAAACTAGTGTTGTTGGTACGTATATGTGTTTCTTTCAGGGCCGTAACCAAAATGACCATCAAATATTGGCAAATTTAAAAGGTTAATTCACCCAAAAATGAAAATTCTGTCATTATTTACTCCGCCTCATGTCGTTCCAAACCGATAAGACTTTCATTCATATTTGGAACACAAATGAAGATATTTTGATTAACAGATTGAATTTAGGCTTTTATTCACAAATCAACATTCATCAATGCACACATCAGTTATGTTCGTTTGACGTGCTAGAACCAATGGCGTTCGTTCTCGCGCATCAAGCAAGTATGGTTGAGCTGTTTATGTTCACTGATCAATGTTTTTATGTGAATAAAAGCTTAAATTGAATCTGTTCATCATATAAAGAGATTGAATCTCTTCAGAAAATTTGGACTACACCGCTCAATTCATATGGATTAATTTTACAATCTCTTTATGAACTCTTTTGAAGCGTCAAAGTGTCAGTTGCGTAGCAGTCAATGGAGGGACAGAAAACGCTCAGATTTCATAAAAAATATCTTAATATGATCATCCTCATGCTAGGAACCCCCACCCTAAAATTTAAAAGACAGTTCTATATTTTTAAGTATAAAGACCTAATTAATACTGTGTAAATATTAGTATTATAAATGTCAATTATGTTACATTGCGGTTTTTCTATTCTCTGTAGTATGGTTAAATGTATTATTTAAATCAAGTTATTTTTAAATTTATATTTTACAAATGTTATTTATTTTAAATTAATGTTTTTGTTTATTTGTTTTAGTTATTTATTCAAATCTAAATGTATTTATTAATTGTAATCAAAGTATTATTTTAATAAAATGTATTTATTTAGTTATTTTGTTTAATCTTTTATATATATATATATATATATATATATATTGAACTGCTTTTCTTTGAACTTTCCACCATTTGTCCACCTATGAACCCATTTTAACTGAAGAATCATATGATGTAAAATGTGTCAGATGAGATCATGTTCTCCATTGAAGTACATTGATCACTTTCTAACAGTATAAAAGAGTGTTAAGGGCTTATTTTGGGGAATACAAAATATCTGTGATTAATGTGAGACAGATTCATCTGTGAATCTGAACCCTTAATCTCTTTGTGTTTGTAGGTCTGTTCATGCGTCAGATGCTGCTGGCCTACAATAAACTATCCTTCAGTCAGGTATATAAGCTGTACAAGTCCCTACAGCAGTACTGCCATCGTGGAAACCAGACGGAGCTGTCGGCTCTGTCCACTGAAGACATGGAGCTGACCAGCAATGAAGACCCCAGCGCCGAGCGCATAGACAAAGATGAGCTGGACACTACATCTCTACACCAGTCCGAACTGAGGTCAGAGGGAATCATGTGTTACTTGTATTATTAGTGGAATCAGGGTTGTGTTATTGTGTTGGGGTCAGTTTGACCCGTATTGGTACTCTTTATTTCTTGTAATTTTGTGACTTTCTCATTTAGGGCCTTGAATGTGCATGCAAAGTTTTAACTCAAATGTGTTTTGGAAAGGCTGTAGAAATTGTGGTTACATCAATTGTGTTAGGGATAAAATTGACCCCATTGGTTTTCATGCAATTCACCAAAAATCAACACTTTAAAAAAAACCAAAAGAGTCAGGTTAAAAAGGCTTTTTCTTCATCCACATCCACAGTTTCACAGTCAACATCTGTGAAAGGATGTTTTGGGTTGTTAGTTTTTTTGGATCTCATGCACTTGACTCTTGCAGGACTGAAAAGAAGTGCAAGAAACCCATTTTACACTCACGAGGGGTTGAGAATCAGACATAACAATAGGCAGAGACTGTTTACACAAAGTACAAACAGCAATAAATACTACTTACACCTAGTACAACTATTTTTAGATAGATACTGTTTATACTTAGCTGTAGTTATTTGCTTCTCAGTGTGCAAATAGTTACAAGAACTCTTTATATTTTTTGTGTCAATTCAGCTAATTTTGCAAATAAAAATATGTGGGTCAAATTGACCCCTAACACAATAGAAATAGATGGAAAATTATTCAATTTCTCACATATTTTTAGTCTCTGTCAAACTACAATAGATGTTTTCTGTTTTTACATGAATGTTTAGTTTTTTTCCATACTGTCTACTTTTGGCAATCTGCATGGAAACTAATGGGAAGTCAATTTGAACCCAACAAGCAGAGGATTATTGAATAGGAATGGAACTGACTGTGGTGGTTATTTTCTGTTTTCATCAGATCTGATGAGACCCAAGGTCCTTTATCTCAGAAACAAGCAGAATACTTCCTTGCACGACAGGTTTGTTTTAAACTAGAAGAGATTTGGCTTTCATAAACACAGCTGTCTATGATTCCTTTTGCCCTGTATGATTGCCATCTTGTTTTTTTCCCAGGCGTACCTCCTTAAGAACGATGAAAACAAGGCCATGTCGCCAGCTAAGTTACAGGACGAGCTCAACAACATTCTCAAATTTAATCCTGACTTTGCCGAAGCTGTAAGCTGAACTCCTTCCTTTCAAGAAACAGAGGATTAATCTCTTTTTACTAAAACTGAGCCTCTCTCTGTCTCTTCACAGCATTACCTCAGCTATCTGAACAGTATGCGAGTGCAGGACATCTTCATCTCCACTCACAGCCTCCTGCACTACTTCGACCGCCTCATTCTTTCCGGTGGAGAGGGGAAAAGCAATGGAGATGAAGGCTATGGCCGCAGTTTACGATACGCTGTCCTTAATCTGGCAACCTTGCACTGTCGTTTTGGACACTAGTGAGTATTAGTTGTCTAGATTATGTTTTGAGCACTACATTGTGTCAGGAGCATTTTAAAATAAATGTGGCAGCAAATCAGAATTTTAGCCTCTTAGTCTGAACTGAACTGTTGTTATATGACTAAAGCTGATTTCTATGGTTGTGTATGTGCAGTCAACAGGCTGATCTGGCTCTGCAGGAAGCCATCCGCATCGCACAGGAAGCAAATGACCATGTGTGTCTCCAGCACTGTCTGGTAAGAGCAGTTTCTCTCATTACTTGCCTCCACAAAATTTAAAGGTTATTAGAATTACCAAAAACATATGCAAACTATACTTTACCTTTATGACCTTTCAATAATATATTTGTAGGTAGGTTTTTAACATGAATACTAATAAGAAATGTTTCAATCCCATTTCAATTACTACCCCATATCCAGAAAAGTTGGGACATTTTGTAAAATGCTATAAAATCAAGAATTTGTGGTCTGTTCATTCTCTTGTACCTTTAACTGACAAAAGTACAGAGAAAAGATTTCCAATGTTTTCACTGACCAACTTAATTGATTTTTGGAAATATAATCAAAGGTTGATTTCTTTGTACTTTTGTCCATTAAATAAAGGTTAAATTACTTTTTTTTTTTATCAAATGCAGCCTTGGTGAGCATAAGAGACGTCTTTCAAAAACATAAATACAACCCTCTACAATGCGAGTAAATCGGTTTAAGCGATTAATCGGTTCTGGTGTCCGTAGAGGTTTGATAGAGGTTGTGTGTGTGTGTGTATTATGCTTAACAGTGCCTGCTGTATTCTTATTTTTTTCTAATTTGTGATTTTAGAGTTGGCTGTACACACTAGAACAGATGAAAGGATCTGATAGTGTGGTACTAACGGAAGACTCTGTGAAAATTGCAGCTCACTTTTGCCTCCCTGTAAGTAGCTGATTAAGATGGAACCATTTTAATGCCCTTATAATAGGGAAATGCTTTGCATAACCACAAGACATAATAAATGGCATCAGGCACATTAATTCACATTCAATTAATGCTCCCCGTTGTGTTTTGCAGTATTTAGCTTCTCTAGGCATCCAGTCCCTGGTCCAGCAGGGCGCAAAACAGGGCATGCCTGCCAACAAGCTGCTGGACGCCCTGCGAGGAACCGACATCATGCACTGGAAGCAAAGCCTCTCTGAGCTGATAGAAATCAGCCTGGCACAGACCACCTCCATATGGAGGATGTATGGCAAAAGGTCAGATAACATTATGAAATTTAAAGGTGACATATATAGCATGTCAAATTTGCCCCTTTTTTGGGTGTGAGAAAAAAACACGCCATTTTGTGTGTGTCCCTTTAAATGCAAATGAGCTGCTGCTCCCCGCCTCCGTTTAGAAGATGGACGATCCTTTACACGACGCTTTGGATAAAACGGCAGTAACAAAACACGTGAATAATCTCACTCATCCAAAATCTCAAAAATAACCAGTTGCGGAGTGCAGCCTTACGCCGCCTTCACACTGGCAGTTGAAATCAGCTCCGATACGGCTTCGAAACGACCGGAAGTCATTCATTTCCTATGGAGATTCGCAGACCGCATGCGAATGGGTCCGAACCGGGTCCGAACGAGTGCGGTGCGAAAAAAATCGTGTCAGTTGGTCATCCGGATGCGTTCAAAAAATTGAACTCTTGCGAAAGGCTACGGCCGGTTCCTATCCGACAATTCCAGCGGAAGTTAGCGTTGCTATGGCACTGATAAACAAACCTGAATTCTTAACTTTTAATAAAATAAATAATGATATTTTATAATGATAAGTTGTCATGTCATTTTTTTTTATTTTCATGATTTTCTAATGTTATTAGGCCAGTTAATACAATTAAAATGTATAATTAAATATTGTGGCCGTTTTCCCTCACCCCGCTCATTCACTCACATACAGCCAGAAAATTCCATGATGGCAAATCGTCGGCTGGTCAATGCTCTTGCTGTTGCTCTCCTATACTGGAGACGCAAGCAGAAAAAGAAGAGATCTAATCTCTCCACCATTTTTGTTCTACTCGCTTCCGACGCTTTTCAACGGTGTAGTACGGCGTCCGCTGGGGGCGTATTGCGTATTACAGAGCTGATTTCAACTGCCAGGGTGAAGGCGGCGTTACGGAGAGACTCTGGAAGAGGTTGCAACTTTTAGACGAACCTTGACGTTTCTGAACGGTTAGTGGATACATTTATGTAGCTGTTGTGGGATTACATTAATTCATCTCATCGACTTGCATGTACCGTCATGTTTAACTTTTTACAAAAGTTGACACAGTTCCCTGAGATCTTTATAAGACAGCTGTGACATTTTTTGGTCAAATAGTGTTCTGTGCTCGTCTGTGCAGCCAACGACTGAACAGTTTGCATGCTTTGCTCGAACTTTTGCCATTGCGTTAGAACTGGTTATACTGTTGTCGCTTGCGTAAACCAAATGGCGACGGCGTTGGTGGAAACGTGCAGATTATGGGGCGGTAATATTATAATAAGACCCCTTCCTACGTCAGAAGGGGAGCGAAATCTGTTCGGCTTATTTTTTGACATGCTTGCAGAGAAAGGCTTACCAAAAGAAAGTTACTGAGTTGTCACTTTTCACGTTTTCTGAGTTGCACCGGGGACCTGATTATAGCTCTTAAACACGGAAAAAGTCAGATTTTCATATGTCCCCTTTAAAGGTGCCCTAGAATGTGAAATTGAATTTATTTTGGCATAGTTAAATAACATGAGTTCAGTACATGGACCTGACATACAGTGAGTCTCAAACACCATTGTTTTCTCCTTATTTAAATCTCGTTTTTGAAAAACACCCCTGAAAAATAGGCGAATCTCCACATAACACCGACTGTGACGCAACAGTCGGGATCATTAATATGTACGACTCCAATAATTTGCACATGCCAGCCCATGTTCAATGCCAGGCGGAACTGCACAGCCGAAGCATAGCAGTTGATCGAACATCTCATTTTCACATCTTCCCAAAGTTGTGTGGGGTCCAAACATTTCACCGACGACTGTTTCCTCAACTTGGGCCAATACAGAGCTGGCCTCGATGAACGTCTAAAAAAAATCGATCGAGCTACCAAGCAACACTTTCTGATGTGTAATTTTGTTCAAGTTCAGACAGGTAATCTTTCTCTCAAAATCGTTCAATACTGTTTATGCATCAGTAAGTCAAGCCAGTGACTAAAATATCAGCTTCACATCGTTTCTTTTAGTAGGATGAAAAAAACCTTATTTAAATTGTGAATAAATTATACAGAAAGCGATCAAAGAACAATCTTTCCACACAGCGCGAGTTTATCTGGACAACTCGTTATGAAATCAATGATGCACGTTACACTGCACAACGAAGCTCTTACTGTATGTACATCATCATGTTTGCATTGGTGAAAGCATTAGAGAGAGTGCAGAAACTGCGTTGCAATGATAAGATCTTCATTCCCGCGATCAACAGACTGTCATCTGCTTGCTCAATGCTCATCACGGCAACATTTTATGTGATGAGAATAGATCTAAATACTTTAAAAACATCTCACGATTCGTTAATCTCGATACCTGTAATAGTAAAAACGTATAATAGCTGTAGTAAAAGTATTCGAGAGAGTTTCACATGTAATACGTAGCTATTTCATATGCAAGCATGTCAGCCAATCACAGCAGTGGCCGGTTACACTGAATCCCACAGCAGACACGCCCCTTCAAACAGAGCGTTCAAATCAGAGGCTAAAATCAGGCTAGGAAAAATGCCTTTTATTTCTAAATTATGACTATTTTTGATCTAAAACACATACTAACATTATAAGGGCAACCCAGGAAACATTATAAAATAATAAAATAACCCCATTCTAGGGCACCTTTAAGAGAACTGTGAAGTGAAATGAAATTTATTTCAATCATATGTAAATAATATGTCTTCAAACAGACTGTAAGGGCTCACACTTCCATTCTGCATTGATGTTAGTGCTACATCTCATACAGTTTTGCAGGTTTTATGTTGTTAAAGCAGATTTTTTGCGTTCTCTGTAGCACTATGGCACGGCAGCAGGCTCAGCTCCTGTTGAATATGAACAGTCTGGAGCCGGTGAACTTTAGCGTGCAGCAGAACAACACTGAGGCCTTTGCCGTCGCTCTCTGCCATCTGTCTGAACTCCATGCTGAGCAGGTACCTGACCTCTCTCACAAGTACATGAACACAAATGCTTCTTGGTGCATACGCTTGATTTCATGTATTGCTCTGTGCCAAAATGTATCGAATGCTAAATTAGCATGTTTTCCAGTTCCAGTTGTGATTCTTTTTTCCGTCTTCAGGGCCATTATGCTGTTGTGACTGACATCATGAAACACTTGAAGCAGCAGTTTCCTCCCCATACCCAACATGCCAAAGTACTGCTGAACAAAATATAGGCTTCATAAAGCACAAATCAGCAGCTGATATATATATGATATATATATTTTTTCTCTCTTTCTCTTTTTAACAGCTCTGGATGCTATGCGATCTGAAAATTAAATTTGAAAAGGCTATGAATGATGGGAAATACCATTTGGCTGAACCTCATGTCACTGCTATCTCTGCCTTAAACAGCACTGAGGGATTGTACAGGTAGATAACGGCACATATTATACGTTTTTTAGTAGGTTGGGCTGTACAAGTGATTGCTAATGTCCTTGTCTGTTCAGGAAAGCCCAGTTGCTGAAAGCTCTGAATCAGACGTCTGAAGCCTCGAAGATTCTACAGCAGCTGCAGCAGCAGTGTGAGAAGAGTAAGAACACCGAGATGATCATCAGGTATGCCTTCATGAAAAGAAAAGTCCGAGATCCCATTGGAAATCTGGGATTCAAGATCTAATTGAAACCTGGAAATAAGTGATGATTGACAAAATTGACTTGCACTTTCTTACTGGCTGCTGAAAATTCTGGTTTGTTAAGTATTTTAAAATGCAAAACGGTTTGATAGAGACCCGACCGGTCACAAGGAGAATCACACCAGGCATCCGTTTAAAGGTCGTTTCAAAAGAAGTTTAATGCTTTAAAGGCAAGGAAGTGCAAAAAGGTCCATACCTTTAGTTAATTGGAACATACCATTTTCTGTAAAACTAACTCTTGTCTCTCTAAACATTTCAGCAAGTTCCCTCGATGATAGTTAAGACAATGGGTCTCATTCATGAAACATTCGTAAATATACGAGTAAATATGCGAGTGATTTGCGCGTAAAGAGACCTTCCCGAAAACTCTTCTCCTGATTCACAAATACTTCGTAAACGTCAGATGTGATAGTGAAATGTGTGTGTGTGTTAATGAATTCCAATCAGTCGTAAATGGGATGCGCGTGCACGTTCATTCTCAATTACCATAAATCCCGCCTATTAAATCCGACTGACAACTATATATGGGCATCATATTATGACATGAATGCGAATGAAAAAAAAAAATTCTCAGATGCAGAAATTTAAATTTTATTATCAGAAGTTCATTCAAAACGCCACATTTTATTTTCAAGCGTACATAGTGGCGTATCGGGTCCTAAAAAAAAAGGAAGCTTGGCAGCATATTAGATGCAGTTAATGGAGTTTCATCTGTTAATCGAACATTCCCAGAAGTGAGAAGAAAATGGTTCGACATTAAGCTTGAGAGCAAAAAACGAATTAGTTCACTTCGGAAAAATAGTATTCAAACTGGAGAAGGACCACCATCGCAGATGCTATTACTGGCTCTCATAATAAGAAAAACCGGATGTAATTACTATATATAATATTTTTTCAAAATGCTGTGCAAATATGTACCCGATTAAGGTGAATTAAAATGCAGCCTTATTAATGAGCAAAACGTTCGGGTGTTAAGCGCACTATTTACGCGTGGCTGGGAGCAGGTGTAGATTTCTTGTGTACCAACTAACATTTGGAAAATACAAACATTTTAATGAATCCGAAAATTTACGCCAGAACCACTTTACACACGATTTACACAAAAATTCGTTCTGCTCGTGTTTTATGAATGAGACCCAAAGAGTTTAAAAACAATCAATCAATAAAACAGACAGGCAAGAGAAAAACAAATATTGTCATTTGAACAACTGATATTTCCTAAATAAATTAAAAGGAGCATTTCCCCACCTCCCAGGGTGTGCACATACCTAGAGGTAAGGCCCAGTCTTCTAACAGCAGGAAATAAAACAGTATAAACCCACATGAACAATTATTTCATGCATGATACAAAAAAAAACAATAAGGACACAATTTTGAGGCATGGAGAAGCAACACTGGCTCGCGATCACACGGTTATTTTTTATTGTAATATTTCACACGATTACTTTTTTTTTTCGCTTTAAAAAAAGACCCCACATTTTTTAAGTGTATATTTGAAATCTTGTTAGAACGGCAGTGTTCCCATGTCAGATTTTAACTCTTCGGTGTTTGTGTGGCAGGGTGATGCTGGCCTCTGCAGAACTCCACTGGGACTCTTCTGGATTTGCATCAGGTCTGCCGTTACTCTTACAGGCTCTTGCTCTGTCACGCCAACACAACCTTCAGAGCTTGACCTCAGAGACGGTGTTACACCTGGCATTTACACAGGTACACCAACAAGAACCTTCACAGTTTGTGCTCAGACACCTGATAATGACTGACAAATGCTCACAAAACATCTCCCAGTTCCTTGATTTCACCTAAGAATTCACTGAAGTGTTTTTTAAGTATACCTGTGTGTTTGTTAGATGAAAGATGAAGAAATTGTGTAATTTTCAACTAGGAGTGTCTGATATTGATCATCTCTCTTGATAGCTGATGTTGGGGATTCCTGAGCAGGCTCTTGCACTGGTGCAGGACGTGTTGGAGTCGGTTTTGGCTCACGGTTCTCTGATAGACAAGGGCAGAGCTCTGCTGTTGGCCGCTCGCTGTCAGATGACTTTAGCAGGAACTACTGCACAGAAACACAGACTGACTGGTACTGCCTGAGTCCTGTTTGACACCCATCTCACTGTATTCAAGTCATACTTCATACGTTTAAGTGATGTATTTTCTTTCCTACAGCACTGGAACAAGCCGTGCACACTTTAGAGGAGGCAGCTGTGTATTTCTCTCGTCTTGACTGTAAAGAGCGTATGAGAGACATACATTATCTACAGGCACGCTTGCATCACACTCTCGGCAACGTCTCTCAACGCAACAAATACGCCATGCTCTTCCGCCTGCTGGATCAGGAGCTGCCGTCCTCCGGGATGACTGTGGTCAATCGTCTTTAGGAAACATCTGCTATGGTGTTAATGAACGACACCAAACATTGTACCGTGTGCATACTGGAAATAAATTTTATTTTGTATGTGAAAAACTACATTTTTACCCTTTTTTTTATACATGTGGGGATGGGGGAAGCAAAAAAAAAAAATTGTGTCATGCTAATTTAAAATGTACACAGATCTTAAAATAAAAGAGTAGAAATTATGAACTTACACGGTAGACAATAACAAAATAGCATTATATGAATTAATGCAAATTTAAGGTGCTGAGCTGACCCTTCAATTTTCCTTCATGTGTGACTGACAGCTTTCTCTACCGAATAACTTTCGGACACGCCCCCTTTCATTTCGACACGCCCACTGTTCTGACCAGCAAAAGAGCCATATTTGAAGTTTTTCTCCCAGATTTCTCCACATATTTATCCTCCATCATGGAGGCGCTTGGGGGATACCCCACCAAATCATCTGCTTCTAAAGCAGGACTGTTCAAGGTTTTACTGAGTGTGGCCGTGTGCATGGGCTCACTGTACCTACTGCAAAGTAAACTGTCAAAGTCGCGAAAAGCCAAAGATTTCTACTCGTATGAAGTGAAGGACGCGAGAGGCAGAGCTGTCTCACTGGAAAAGTATCGAGGGAAAGTAAGTTGCATTTTTTTTTTAATGTTTTAAGTGGTTTGACGTCATTTGTAAGACTTTTGAGAAACATAATTCCCCTAGTTTTGTGCTGCAGTATTTTGACTCGAGGGCTCGCTGTCTCTGTGATAACAGGTCTCTCTGGTTGTAAACGTGGCGAGTGGAAGCGAGTTAACGGAGCAGAATTACCGGGCTCTGCAGGAGCTTCACCGGGAGCTCGGCACGTCTCATTTTAACGTGCTCGCGTTTCCCTGCTCGCAATACGGTGACACCGAATCAGGCACCAGTCGAGAAATCGAGGCGTTTGCCAAATCCAACTACGGTGTAACGTTCCCCATCTTTAGCAAGATCAAAATAATGGGGTCTGAGGCGGAGCCCGCATTCAGATTCATAACAGGTAAGTTAGGTTTTACCTGAGGATAATCTTCATTCAAAAACTTTCAAGTTTTACACAAAATAAAAATTGCAGCACCTTTGCGAAATAACATCAGAACGATTTACAGTCACAATTAGCTGAAAACTTATGTGTTTTCTAGATTTATTGTTTAGAGCGGGGAAGAAGGGCGACCCCTTATGGGCGCTGCCATTTCGACATCACGTGACCAGTTCCTACTACTTGATTGTAAGAAATTATCAATAACAGCAGCAGTATATTTATTTTATATAGCACAGTACGTTTTCAAAATTCAAAGCATAAATATAAAAGTACATTAAAAAAACACAAGGAAACCAAACAAAATTCCATCCTCGCATAATATCAGTAGCTTGAGGTGGGTTGTTGGTGCATCCTAACTAATGCACAATTCAATGCCATTTTGCAGTATAAATAGTGTGAGTTCTGTGTTTACACCAGGGCTGGTGCAAGCTCAACTGCCGCTCTATGCAAAACACTTTTGTGCCGCCCACACCACACTTCACACTCACGAATCACGAAATAAAACTTCATGAATTAGCTCAAGATTATTGGACAGACACACACACACGGTGACCATTGGCGACAGAATGTAGACGTGACTCATGCGACAAAAGTTCAGAAAGTTTAAACTTGCAAATTAGCAGCACATTTTGCGCGCGACAACCAATAGGAGTGAAGACTGTTCACTACCAGCGACTTTCTCGCATCATGTCTCCAGTGGCTGGTGGTGAAAGTTCATTTAGATTTAGAATAACTAACGGGGTGATATAAATGCAATAATTCCAAATGAATGTCCCAAAAAATATCCCCTCTCTTTCTTGCCACCCTAGACGGCTGTCTAGTTTACCTATAGATACACACCATCCCTAGTTCACACTGAAAATTCCCCCCAAAAATGTAAAAAATAACAAAGTGTGGACACTTGGTGGCCTCTTCATGCACTCAACTTTCTTTGTGCAGTGGAGGGCGAGGTGCTATCGTACTCTGATGGGAATTGGGACACAATTTATGGTAGCTCATTGCACACAGGGAACCCACCCATAAATATTTGATCTCAGACCTGTAAATTTTAGTGACAGCCCAGCTATGGGATAGCAAAGCAAATCCTAACCTCTGGTTTGAAATATGAGGACATTTCTAAATTAATTCATTTATAGTAATATTGAATAATGAATAATATTATGGACTCAATATTCTAAAACTTTTTTTCTTTCTAGATTCAGTACAGAAAATGCCGAAATGGAACTTCTGGAAGTTTCTTGTGAGTTCGGAAGGCCAGGTGGTGCGTTTCTGGAAGCCGGAGGAGTCCATAGAGGACATTCGAAAGGAAGCCACAGCCCTTGTGCGGAATATAATACTGAAAAAAAGACAGGAGCTATGATGTGCACAACCCCCCTCAGAGACTCATAAGTGAAGCATTGTGCACATTTAAGTGCGTATAGATCATCTGTGGTCAAATGCGGAGGGCTTCACCTACATTGACATCAATGAGAATGAATAATTCTGGTTAATGTGAATGATACTGACAGAAGATGATCGCTTGAGGCCTGGCTTTGTGTTCTTGTGTATTTAATAAAATTTTACATTTTGTCATTGGTAGTATGATTTTGCAAAACAAAAACAAAACACCTTTTAAATCTGTCTTTTTGATTTTTTTTTTTACTAGTTTGATTCTTGTGACAATATGCAATAATGCACGTTTCTGATAATGTTTCTGGTATGTCAATCAGTCATGCAATCATCAATTAAATATGTCACTCATCTGGAATAAAAGGAAGGTATTGCAGATAAACGCATATTCATAATTTACTATAATGATGTAATTTACGAAAATATTTACAAACTTGCTTATTATAAATGCTTATTCAAGAGGAGCTGAATTTGCCATTGGCTGATGGTAAAATAGTAACAATGAATCTAAAAATCGCAAGGGATCATCAGTGTGAGTAAAATAATGTTATGCTTAACATCTCAAAAAACATCCAATTTGGTTACAGTTATATTTGTATGTTTGATTTTTTTTGGGTTGTTTTAAGCCTTTAATCCTAACAAAATCCATCATCAAAATGATTTTTTTTTTTTTTCAAAGGAATGTTGTTTGATTCACAAAGCTTACATTATAAGAAAAATCTGTATTTTAAGCTCATTTCCTCTGGGTCATAAAAACCATAATGCCTAACACAAAACTCTTGATGCATATTTATTATTATTCCACTTATTTGCTGTAGTAGTGGAGGTTTGTTTGAATTTTTTGAATTTTTAAACACTCTTCTATAAACCAATTTAAATCTAGCTGATTTGACAAACAAAGAATGTCCGATATTCATTTTCGTCCATGTCCACTAGATGGCACAATCGCCCAACTTGACAAATCTCCCTCACACACTTTCATGTCGCACTTTTCACATTGCATTGTACTGATAGATTTGCTCTTGCTTTAAGTGAGAGGTTTTATATGGATTTTTTTTTTTATGTTTGTGGGACTTTGTGTAAAGGGAAAGAAATTAGAAAAGTAAAGTACATTCTTTGTAGAATGCACTAAGAATAGTACATTGAAAGTAAACGAAAGGAAGAAACTTTATCTCTGTGAAAATGACGTGAGTGAAGATTTGGGAAAATAAACAAGAGAGTCCATGTCCTGTGGAATAACTTACATGTATCGGCTCATTCGGCCTAGCGTAACATTTAATTGCTAACCAGGCCTATTTATTTTGTAACCAAAGCTTTGTGCTTCACTCGTGACGTAATATTCACCTAAAATACATTCACACAACATTCACACACAAAAATTGTGTTATGGCATACATAGGCTACCACCACCGGTTTTGACCGGTACAAGAGTAGGCCTATGCATATTTAGTGTGTAGAATGCAGCAGACGGTACAGACGGGTACTGCTTTAAATACAGGTGATTTATTTAATAAATAATTGCATTTAAATTCTGTAAAAAATAAATAAATACATTTGATTGTTATTTGAAGTAATAATTTGTTTTGGTCCCTCCGCCCCTCCCCCTGAGGAGGTCTGTGCACGCCACTGCTAAATAGGCTATAAAGTAATTACTAGCATAATGTATAGAGTGCATATAGGTATATACTAGGCCTATATGTACATTTTATAGTTTAGGCTACATTGACATTACATATTAGTGAGCATTAGTATTTAGCATTCTCTAGCCTACATTATAGCATTATATGTAGGCTAGATGTAGCCTACATTATAGCATTCAGAATTAGATGTAATGTTTACAATGTGAAGTTTAGCAAACTTTTTGGTCAGGGTGGGGGGTTGGGGTATTCTATTCCCCCTTTTTTGGGTAAATCTTTTGCTTCTGTCCAGTGTTTTGTATTTTTATATATCATTTAAGCAGATCCCTTAGAAAGTGACAGGCCTTGTATGCTCATTCTTCATCCTCCTGACTGATGTGACAGAAATGGCGAAGAGACTTTACAAAGACCAGAGTAATGAGTTTGATGTCCATCTCTGCCAACTCAATCACCTTCCCTGCCCTCGTGTTTAACGGGTTCAGCCTGACCTATCTATCATGCTGTTTGTTATTAGAACTGAATGTTCTTAGAGGAAAAACATCTTCAGAACTAAATGTACCAAGTGTCCAGACAAGTGAAAGCGTACATTCTTAAGCTTCAAAGTTCAGCCTGGTGGGGTTACCGCTGCCTGACTGTGCTCTGACATTTTGTGAGCTCTGATCAAAAGGCCTCGCTCGCTTTGACAGCACTGAAGACCCCATAAGGTGCATCGCTGGGCATAAAAATCCATGGGAACTTTCAAGACTGAGCATAACGAATGAAAAATACATGGGGAATATTTTCTTGTTGGCATGTCAATAAATTAAACAGTTAAAATGTCCCAATGTTATACATTGCATACGTTTATTCTGTGGAACACAAAAGGTGACTTTTAGAAGACTATCTTTTGATTGGTCAATGAATCATTATGAGATCATCGTGTGATGTCTCTGCGAGCAGGGTACGCGGAGGAAGAATGGTCTTATTATTGGGAGATATGAGGGTCAGTGGCTCAACCATTTGACAAAGTATAGCAGCTACTGTAACTTGGATCACGTGTATCTTATTGATAACCAATCACATTACAGCCTTGACGTCATTAAATTTCGTTCAGAGTTGTGCGACAGTCAGTCACTGTTTGCGGAGACCATAGAAATGACTGAGAAGAGCCGTAAACTGAATCATACCTGTCGCGCAATTGTCCGTGACCTATCTTATAAAACAGCATTTTTTTCAGTGTAAACTCTAAAAATAGATCAATCCAAAACAAATGTTTATGAGCAAACATGTTGAAGATTAGCCGATGGGCTGTCGGTTCATTAAATGAGAAGCGAAAGCGGTTTATTCAGCATAGAAGCCTCTCCTCCATTGACATCCATTAAAAAAAAACAGCCTCTTTAATTGTTACTCTTCTTTCGGATAAGGCTACAAGTGGCTTTGGTATGGTATGGAAATACATATGTTGACAGGCAGGTAGGACATAAATGCTTGGACGAACATTTTTTTGCTCCTGAGACTAAAGATATGTACATTTTTAATATTTAGAATCCTTCTTTTATTGATTGCTATCAGGATTTGAAGAGATCCATTATAACAAAAAGTGTTATTAAAAAAATGGCCTTCCCTACCTTTAATGTACAGTATCGGTCAAAAGTTTGGAAACATTAAGGTTTTTGAAAGTGGTCTCTTAATCTAATTTATTTGATCAAAAATACAATAATATCACCAATACAGTGAAATAGTATTACAATTTAAAGAAAGCTTTAAGATAATTAATAATTCATATTTAATTAATAAAGTCACCATTAAATCAAAGTTTTTAATCAAAATAACTTCTCCCTCTTGCAGTGACATCTCTTCTCTGATGATGCGTCATCACATCACAGCAATACCAAACAATCCAATTAATTTCCAATGGACAAAATCAAGTCCTGCCCTAAATTTTGTCTTGTGCGAGAAGCCTTTTCACTTAGATATACGTCACAAAAGGAAAGAAAAGACCATTGCAACTTCTGTTTTATGCCAAGTACAATGATGTCCACTTATTTATTTGTTTTGTATTTGTGTAATAATATTAAGACAAACATTGTTACAGTCATGCCTTCAGCATGATACAAGTTTGTAAATTTTCCTTTAAGGATTACATTTAGGCCCGTTCTTTACACAAAGCTATCGTGTGACTTAAAGACTGGGAATGCAGCTTTTATATGGTTTTATGGTGCTTTATGTAGTAAATACGAGTAAATAATGACAAAAAGTTATAAATTGTGGGTCAACTCTCTTTTTAGGAACAAGCCTTTTTTAAATTTCCTTCTAATTTTTTTTTTACCTTTATTTGCTTTTTTCAGTAGGTTTTGTTTAGCCATGGGGTGGCAGACGAGGACTCCGGCAGTATTTCTTCCGCAGTAACGTGGGTCTGTCACATCAACACAGACCATGACATGCATCATAATTCCCAAGACCATAACAGAACTGTCTCGAAAGCCGTTACAGCATTAGTTTATACAAGCAAATGTAACAGGGCAGAACCGCCTGCACTTGTTTGAGATCACAGTGACAATAACAAGTGTACACACACTGCTGAAGATCTGTTTACAGATGTTTAACACACACACACTCTTTATAACCACTATCATATACACACACTGACAAGAACCATACAAGCTCGACTGCATATTTGAGTGGAACTGGGCATCTGTGTCCTGTTACATGTCTCTAGAAAGATAATACGACTTTTTTAAAAGGGATATTTCACCCAAAATTTTAAATTTTGTCATTATTTCCTCATCCTCATTTCATTCAAAATCTGTTGCTATTATTTTTTCGCCAGAGGCTATTTAGGCTACACTAAGTGCAAATAGAGATAGATGCAATGTAGGCCTACACTAAATGAAAATAGCAGTATTTTCTTAGCGACATAATTATGCTATTTACACTAAGTAAAAACAGTATTTTCTATGCACTAGGTGTAAATAGTAGATAGATGCTATTTAAAAAGTGCAAATAGTAGCAGATACTATTTGCAACTCACTTTATAGTAGTAAATGATAAAACAGTATGCAATAATAACAACATATTCAGTGTATATGATTAAAATCATAAATGGATGCCGCCTTATTTGGACATTACTTATCCCATGTCTTTAAAACCCACCCCTACTCTTTTCCCAACCTCTAAAACACTATTTCCGTTAGGTGCTTTATTTATAAACTTTACTAATTTTCGAATATTTTCTTAATTTTTATTTAAATGAAATGCCTCTCCGAGCTGATGTGCATCGAAAAAGGGAAAATACTAAGTTATAGGAGAAAGCTGGAATTGAACTTGTGGTCTTTCCATGTCACTGCTCCTGTTACCAGACAGGTTTCTTTTGTAATTTTGTCTGGCTCAAAAAGACTTGGTGTAACACTTGGCGTAACACTACGCATTGTTTTTCTATGAAACTTAAAGGGAGAATTTGAAGAATGTTCTTTCCATGTAATAGTTTATAGTTACTACTCCAATCAAGCTATCAAACAAAAACAGAACCATAAAAGCTTATCCCTATTATGTGTGTGCTATATTCCAAGTCTTCTAAAGCCAACAGTTTTGAATAAGAAAAATATTTAACTGACATATCATGTGAGGTTGGACATCAAATGCCAATGGTTCATGACCAAATGCTATTGAGGTCATATTTGATCGTCATATTGTTGTAGTTTGCTATTGCTGTGATGTCATTTGAGTGACAGGTTGTCCCTGCCCTCGTACCAGTAAACACATCATCAGAGAAGAGAAGTTATTTTTATTAAAGATTATGAAGGCACATGAATTTGAAAAAAAAAATAACGATGTGCACAGACAAATCATTTATAATAAATGCAATATTCCATAAAAAAATCTGAATTGACCATTTTGACCTCATGGTGACTTTAAAAGAGAGATTGTTACTGTATTTAAAAAAAAGAGTTGCATCACAATTCTTAAAAAAAAAAAAAAACTGCAGTGCATATGGGGGTGAGTAAGTGACAGAATTGTGTTTTTTTTTTTTGTTGAACTATTTCTTTAACATTTCAGAAGAGCTTGTGTGTGTGTGTGTGTGTAATATTCCCTCAGGCTGTCACAGATCCTAGCACAACCACCATCATAAAAACTTCTCTGAATCTGTTCTCCAGCTCATCAATCAGCAGATGGGCACCTCACCAACCTCCCACAGACACATTCAACCATCAAACGCTTTCACGCCGATTTGCCATCTCTTAAAAATAAACAAGAAAGAATTATTTTGCCACGCCCATGGTATTATCAATAAAAGTTTATTACAGAAGCGTTTAACAGTCAGTCTCATAAACTATTTAATACAGGATGTTTGAAGCACAGATTAAGAGGACACTGTATGACACAGATAGAGACTTGCACATAAACAACTTGACCAATAAACTGCCCTCTATAACCTGCCACTGACTGAGTGTATTAGTTTGCTTAGCATTGTGGGTATTGACACCATCATGCCGTTTATGAGTAACAGATACAGCATTACGCAGGTTAAACATCAAACCAAACCAATTACCAAGCCTGGTAAGTGTAATGATCTTAAAGGGCCAAACAACAAATACAAAGACAAGCCGCTTAAAGTTCTGAATATTCCAGATTTTTTTTTTTATATATTCAGCCTTGAAAAGTTAAAAAGAGGTTATTTTGTGTATAATTTGAATTTGTTGAGGCCCTGTGAAGATGGTTGTTGTGTAATATTACATATAATATAGTCTGAAGTTAACGACAACAACACTGAGAAAACATTAAGATAACATTAAACAAATACACACACAAAACTGACACATTTAAAAGAATACATATAATATCATACATAACACTGACATTTAACTATTTGATCATCTGTGATTTACCCCTAAACAACTAAGTGCTGGTTAGTACAGTAACTATTTGTTTGGCTCATTTTTGTTTCAGAATTACGTAAAAATGTTATATTCCAAGACGACAATGCTACAACAAGCGTTTCAGTCACAAACCTGATGAAAACAGACTAAAGTGCTCAGGTAATCAAAGGCCATGGAACAATCATTAGCTCTTTAGCTCAAGGTCCATTTATTTTGACATTAATTACTTGTCTGCCAAAATTTGATTTAAAAACTCTGTTACAGCCAAGGTTATTTTGAGCATGAGGTTAAGAACAGTTAACAAAATGTAAAGTGTACCAGACGTGAATAATCACTTTTAGTAAAGTGTACCAGACGTGACTAATCAAGACTAGAATGTAGAATAGATTTTAAAATACACTATATGGATGAAAAAAGCCATATTTCACTGGACCATTCCAAAGGGAACAGCAATGCTTTGACACAGCAAGACATATTTTAAGAGGTATATTTAGGATGTAGACTATGACTTAAACATAAATAAGAAGCTATTATCATTCAATAAACTTTCATATATAACAAAAAACGTATCTTATACAACAAAAACGTATCTGTGTTGAAATGTACCTGTTGTCTTCTAAGATAGCTTTGTTCATCATTAGTAGACAACAAAAACAAGCCGCTGGCAATTCAACATCATTGACAACTACACGACAAGTGGTGTGTGTGGGTATTCACATGTGAACATTTTGGAAAGGGGGGGAAAATGCAAAAGTCTTGACATAGCAGTTTTGCTTGCGTCACGTGACGTGGGTCATCTGTATAGTCTGTTGAGCTGGTTTCATGGCTTTTGTTGGGAGATTAGTAGAGCACACACAGAGTGGTGATAGGTCCTGCTGCGGCAGAGACAGCCTCAGCAATGCAACTCTGACAAATACGACCAAACCTGACCCCACAAAATTCCTAACCATACCTTGGTTAAAACCGGGATCCATAGCGCTTCACATCAACCGTTGGTATGCATCAGCCAGTTGATTGACTCTGGGATTTCTAATTCGCATTTTTTCCTGTCCGTCACTGGTTCTTTGTGACCGAAGAGGGGCGTAAGAAAGCATCTCTCGGTGGTCGCCTCCAATGAACCCCCACCTTGAGTCAAGGAGCGTCATCTGCCAACACAGTAAGTCAATGGTGAAGCTTTTAGAGCGTTTCAAACTTGCCGTGTTTCACCGTTCGCTGTGTTCAGGTGGTTAGGTGGCTCTTTATATGTGATGCTGTTGGTTCACACATAACCACAATGGGAAGGTCATTGAGCTGCGGTGGAGGAGGGAGATGGTAAAAGGTGTTGATTGGGAGAAATGGTACAGAGAGAAGAGGAATCTCTTGCTTGCGCTCTCCCATTCTTTCTTTATCCCCGTCAGATGAACGTAATTGGTTCACCTCTCGCAATGGCGCAGGTTAAAGCTACCTGAACTTTTCTGTTCCCCAATGCTCCATGGCTCCAGGTCCTCCTCTTCCTCATCATCCTCCTCTTCTTCGTAGTGGCTGGGTTCTTCAATGGAACTCTCCATGCGGTAGCAATAGGGCTGACCCTCTGTGTACTCATAGATGGTGGGGAGACTGCTCTTTAGACTACAGCGTCGCCGTAGGGACACCAGTAGAGACTGAGAACAGAGTAGAAACAGTTAGACAACTCTGAGATACAATTACTTACAGATAATGATTGTACTAAAGTCCTTTTAAGGCAAGTCATTTGACTTGGCAGCCATCTTTGAAATTCCTCTCGGGCAGCTATTTCAGTCATGCAAGTACAGCTCCTATCTCTTTGAATGGGGAAACATCAAATTCTCCAAAGCTGATCACCAAGTTTACAAATAAATTTCATATTTGAACTCACCAATGAAATCTGACAACAACTATCACATCCATTTTTATTTCTAAACGGTCAAATCATGACAAAAAAAACAGCATTTTTCAGACTGGATCAGCAAATGTGCAGTCATGAGCTTCTAATGGCAGCTGAAGTGAAGCAATGACTCTACAAATTGGGGATTGGCTCTTTCATTTAGAAGGCGGGACTTATTTCACCATATTATGAATTTTCTCCCATTCATAATATGAGTGCACCATTTTTCTATTTATAAAGTCTTTGCTGTGACACATTGTGCAGATTAAGGTAGGGGTGTCTATTGTCTGGATGTGGATGTTACAGAAAGTGTATGTGCTCTGGATGAGATCATCTTACATAATTTATTTCTTATTTTAGATGGGATACCAGCAGTACTTGAATTGACAACTGTTACCAAGAAACTTGGTTTAAAAGGTCTAAAATCGCTTTTATTTCGACAAAGGTCAAACTAAATGAGATGAAAACATAATGGTAACACTTTGCAATAAGGTACAATTTTTAACATCAGTTAATGCATTAGGTATGATGAACTAACAATAAGCAACACTATTTATTAATCTAGGTTTATGTAAATTTCTTCTTATTGTTCATTTTCAATTCATGTTTGTTTATAATGCAAAAATATTATAAAGACAATTAACATGAACAAAGATTTAAAAATGCTGTAAAAGGACTTCATTGTTAGTTCAGGACACCTAAAGAATTAACTAATGTTAGGGCTCTTCTCCTTAGGGAAAACTAGTCCCATCCAAATAGAATTTAATTAAATGGTTTGCCCTGCCAGTTGAAAAAGGTGATGGACAACGTGTCAAACAAATATTCATCTTGTATAATGTGATTCGCCCAAGACGAACATGTTCCTGGATCAACATCCTTGATGGTCCTACTTCAACATTAAAGTGAGGAATAAGATTATGCTTAAGGCTGGGGTTAGGTATGATTATGTAGACAAAGATCTTGTCTTTAATTTTAGGGGTTAGTTAGGCTTAAGGCTGGAGCTAACTTTTTGTTCAAAGAATACGGTTCCAGGAGCATCACGGATGTCCTAATGGCTAATTCAGGCTGTGCCTTATATCTGGCAGCACAACCATGTTTTCCACAAAATGAAGCATTTATCACAGTGTTAATACTACATTAAGGGGGACTGTGATTGATTTTAAGATTCTGTTGTTTTACCTGTGGCATGGTAAATATGTCCACGTTGTTGCCTAGGTCAATCCAGGCAAGACAAGTGAACATCTTGGATTCTTTGAGGGCTTCAGACAGATCTTTAAGGATGCCAAGAGTCAGACGGTTCCCATTGAGAGCCAGTGTTGTGAGTTTGGGCAATGCACCCAGGAAGGGCAGAAGTAGACGTAGGCCCTCATCCCGGAGCTCAGTGAAACTAAGATCTACGGATATCACAGCGCCCCCACTGGTCTGGAGGTAATATGCCACGTGCCGTATGTCTCGAGTTGATAAAGGGATGCCAGAGAGGTCCACCGAGTCGCTGCAGAGCTTCTTCTGAAGTGTTGTTTTAAGACTGAAAAGTGGAAAAAAACAATTAATATATACTGAGGAATTACTTAAACAAAGATACAAGCATTAGGGTGATTTTGTCTCTAAATCTGATCATTTAATGCTGCGACTTTAACTAAATTGAGGTTGAGGATTTGGTTATTTGGTCTATATTAAAATCCTTCTCTTCTGGCTAAGAGCAGGGCTCTGTAATAGCTTTGTGTTTCCAGCATTTTAAACTCCAGAGACAGGGGAAAGGAAGAACACTGTGGTGGGGTCAGTGAGTGTTACATGTACTTAACTGTCCAGACTTTGTCCAAAAAATATCAAATCCGAGTTGCAATCATATCAGAATTCATAACAATCTATCATTTTATAATGTGTGAGTAAAAGTAGGCTGTACACTTAATCAAAACTAATGTTTTTCAGCATATTTGCCTGTATGGATTGCATTAAGATTATGTTTTACCCTAAAATTTATTACAAATGTAGCAATCACAGTACATTTCAATATTCTAGTGAATAAAAGTGTAAATCATTTAAATAAAATATGTAAGCCTGGCTTCTTTCTATGAGGATAGGTAAAGCTCTCAAATTGGTGGGACTTTGCAACAAAGACCCAATAAATAAAATGTGTTGATTTAGGTGACTGACAGTATTTAGACATATCTGAAATTGAACCCTGTTATAACATTCAGTGTTCTCAAACTTGTTCTTTGGCATTCAGAATTAGATTATTTCAAATGTATTATATCAAAAGTAGGTAAATAATTTCACTGTTTAGTACAATAGTTTGTGAAGTAGCTTTTGGGAACAACACTACATATATAAATCAGAATAAACATAAAAAAAACTGAGTACACAGTTAGTTATTGCTATCGTGAGAAGCACCTGTTTGCACTGGCATGTGCATTTCATCTTTACTGCATCCATATACAGATAAACATCAATTCAATGAAAATTATCCTTTTTTTAACGACTCATATATACAGTTTATGTGCACATATCCTCTAGCTTCAGTAGCTGGCATCGAGAGCCTTTGCAAAAATCAGATAAGAGCTTTAAAAGCTTTCTTGCATGAATTGCCTGTTACGAGTCTTTGACTTGGCCAATCCAAACCGCTTGTTTCTTCCCTTTGAGACAATTTCTGAGCGTTTGAGCTAGATGCAAGGTCCAAAGTCATGAAAAGACTTCTCAGGTACTCTCTGATGTGCTTTCATGGTAATGTAGGCTTTATGATGGAAGGTAGAAATGCAGCCCATAATGCTTCTACTATACTGCTCTTTGATATGAGGTTATTTGGCAAAGCTATAACTATCTGGCACACTTCAGTCATGCAAATACATTTATTTTGCAAAGCTTCTTTCTTTGAGGACTTGGATAGAGACAAGTTGTGCAGTGATTTTTGTTTTCATCTTCTCATGTACTTTAAAGCTGCTGTAGGTAACTTTTGAAAAAATGTATTTGCTAAAACTGTCATTATGTCCTGACAGTAGAATATGAGACAGATAATCTGTGTAAAAATCAAGCTCCTCTGGCTCCTCCCAGTGGTCCTATTGCCATTTGCAAGAAATACACGCTCCCGGTCAGAAACAACCAATCAGAGCCAGGAGGAGTGTCTTAGCAGTGTCAATCCCGCTCGTGTACGCGCTGATCACACCCCTCTCTTGCACAGCGTGAGCCGTCGTTCAAACTCCATATTGCCGGCGTGCTGCAGCTGTGCCTATGACGGAGAAACAACCTAAACTGGCAATTCTCGAGTGACACCTGCTCATAAAACAAAGAGGTAAAAGGAAAAAGACTGATGACGATAAACAAGCGAAAAAAACAGAATTACACAGAGCCCATTGACTCGGTGTCAAAACTCTTGCCGCATAACATGTAGATAAAATGTCACGCACTCTGCTAAGCAACAATTGAAACCTGCTAATTCACTGGTTTGTCATGTTGCTGAAATAATGTACTAGCACACCTTGTCTAGCATTATATATCGCTAGATTAATTACTTACATACTGTAACGTTAGTTACCGTTATATTAACGTTATCTTACTAGCTATTTATAACTTATAGAAAGAGTACAACGTTATAAAGTAGTAATGGGCGATATAAACGATATGCAATATAAACGATACAAAATTGGTCTACGATATGGATTTTAATTATATTGCAGTATCGCGATAATGCATGTTGACGCAATCTACCCGCAAAATTTAGAGCCACGAGCTGCAAACGGCTGCAACGCATCATCGTATTCGACATCTTGAGTAAACATGGCTGAAAGCGAAACGGAGGAGAGTATAAAAAAACCGGTGCAACATCCATTGGTTCGGATTTAAGCCGTCCGACGAGCAGCAGCAAACTATACTCTGTATGGGCAACAGTTCTGGCTAACGCCTGTTTCACACATATTCCGTTTGCAGTGCATATGTAGGCTATATATTTTTTCCGTACCCATGTTAACAGGCCTGCACGCGGATGCGGTGCGGCAATGCGTTCCAGGAGCGGTGTGTATACAGCAGTGCAGTGATCGTTTCCACACAGTCTATTTCTGCTGTGCTGCACGTGCTGAATTAAAGTGACAGCGAATGGTTCATGGTCAAAATGAACACGGATTGATATGAAAATATAGTAATCTTTTTACTAATATAGTAAAAAAAAAAATTATACTATTTTTCAATCATTTTCTTTTTAACTTTAAGCTCGGGGTAATTAAAGCAAGGAAACTACACAGTAACATTACCTCAACAACGCGACATAATGGATGCACTTGTCTCTTCGTGAAACAAGTTCTTTGTGATTGCAATATTTCTTGTAAAAAAGATTTAAATGCAAAAGAAAAGGTATGAGAGAGCTGTTTATGTCAATTATGTATGTTTTAATTTAAAATGTTTGCGATGTTAACATAAATGTATAAATGTTTTGCCACTTGCTTGAGCAACTTACTATATAAATCTATATAGAAGTAATAATATGTTTTTAAGTGTTATAAATTTAAACGTGAATAGCCTTGTGAAAGAGTGCGTAAGTCTTGTGAAAGAGTGCGTATTACTAGCCTACTGTCTGTGTACAAATAGAATCACAATGCTGAAACTCTTTTATATTATTTTATAAAAGACACTAATAATATAAATAGTGATTTAAAATAAAAAATAGAGGATTAATGTTGTTTGTCGAACAGCCGTAGATCAGTTGCACACTGCAAACCATATGTGAAAGCACAATAGCGCGTGCTGCTCCTGTGCCGCACACCACCGCACTGCACTGCACAAGGAGTATGTGTGAAACAGGCGTGCACTACAGGAAATAAACCCAATACTTTAAGCTTTTTCTTTGTTAAAGTCTCTGCAGCTAGTGTACTTGAATTTTATTCATCTGCAACATTATGTTCTATAATTACAGTTTTGCATAATTAATGTTTTTAAAACAAATACATTTTGCAGTTTGGCTTTCCTTATGGTCTGTCTAACCTGTTCTGAAATGGTTCTATTATAATTTATTTATCGTGATATATATCGTAATCGCAAGAGGCTGCAATGTATATCGCAATATGGATTTTAGGCCATATCGCCCATCCCTATTATAAAGTTACATGTAGGCTATTGCAAAATACATAATGATTTGAGGACCAAGTTTGTAGTCAAAGTATGGGCAGGCCATAGTCAATGTAAAGCATATTATTGACGTTTAGTCCCTATTAGTGAATGTGCCATATAACTTTTTATCCGCTGTTATCGGTGGCCCTGTTTACTAGCCTGCGCGTTCACGACAGGCTCCGCTGTGGAGGACGAGCTGTGGAGGACGAGCTGTGGAGGGAGGGCTGTAGCGCAGCAGACAGCAAGGGGGTGGGACCTGTAAGTTGTGCTTGTTCGAATTTTCAGGCTAAGTCAACGTTTTCTCAAAACTCCCTACTGCAGCTTTAACATAGATTTGCTTGCAAATTAATTCAATTGTAAAAATTAGTGCAAACTGTTATTTAATGTGGTGGTGTTTTTATGTACAGTTTTTGACCAAACTTACATAGACTAAAAACATTATTGGACACAAACAAATTTGGACACGTTAATTGGTGTGAAGAAGTCATTAATGAAATGGTTTGTCTTTATTTTGACTCTAATTAAAAGGACGACAGCCAAAGATGTACTGTGGAAACATACAGTCTATAAGAGGAGATAAAACCTCCTAAAGTATTATTTTCTTCTCAAATAATTTCTGAAGTAGGTTCACAGTCAGAGTTCACTATTGTTCTGCCAAACTGTGGATTCCTGCTGCTGATGAAAGCTGCTGTTATGATGGGTTTTTTCTGATGATGTTGCTGGCATCAGTGCCTTTCTACTCGCCCACAATAAATCTTCTTTTCACTCTCAATGTACAGTTGCAAAGAAATTCATATTTAGTTCAAAGTCCAACATTCACCTGAACTGTACTTTTTGGATTTGAGATTTAGACAGTCAAAACTTGATTATTTTAGAAATATAACAAATGATAAAAAAAGAGATACGAATGTTTATTAGAAAGTGTAATTCAATGTCAAAATACTTTCTCCTTTCCCAGTCTAATATATGATATTCCTTTGTGAAAAAGAAGTGCACTTAATTGTATCTGTGATATATTTATAAAAAACCTACTTGCCAATAATATAATATAAATGAAATGGAACGCCATAAAGTGTACTTAAGGAGAGTGCAATTTCAAGATGTTTCTTTACACATTTAAATACACCTTTAAAAAGTCCACTTTGTAATAATCTCAAATGAAAAGTTTTACTTTAAAAGTGCATTTTAAATCATTATGTTTAAATAATTTTTGCTTTAAAGATCGTATTTGTTGACTACCATCCTAAAGCACATGTACAAGTACTTGATTGTAATTTTAACTGTAGTGTTATTTGACATTACATTCAAAGTTAATATGTAAAAAATTATAATTCATATTTACAAATGTAAAATTCCAAATATACAAACAAGTTTCAATAGAAATGGCATTGAAGTATATTTTAGATTACTATAAATATTTGTCAGTACATT